ATGACATCAGTTTTATTTTCTGTCTCTTGTTATCTGATGGATAATGTGGATAATGGGTATGGAGGGGCATGGGGTCTTGTGTATCCTGTTTAATATCGTAGTATATGTCGTTACTACTAAGTGGATGTGTCAATATGCTACTTAGTAGTATCTCACGCCGTCACAGTCAAGTAGTATTAGATTTTAATGTTTAGATACATCACATCATGATAATCATCTTGTGTAAATGTAAATGCCATGCAAGTATGTATGTTGAATGCAGATGAAAGGTTTCTAGTCCAGATTCGTTAGTTAGTAGTTGAAATCCATCCCATCCATTATACCTTCTTCCTTCGGCTAGTATCTTTTTTTTTTCCTCTCTCGCCTTTTGGTTTCTAGCCTTAAAGGCCTGGATCATTAATAGTTTTTGAGTTTCGTTCCCACAGGGATAAACCAGGCTTTTGCATGTATGTAAGCTAAAATGAAGGATGGTCCGAGGAAGGGATGCATCAAACCGCCTCTTTCGCCTCTTTCTCTTCCTCCCCCCTCTCCCTTTTCTGATCCTTCAAAACTGCCTGTCTGGCCTTCTCCTGCTCTGCGAGACCGGTCTTTGCAATGGTATGCGATTTGCTCAGCACGACAGGCCTTACAAACAGACTTATAATAAGTCCTAATCCGGCCATCACAGTATAGAAGATCCACATGCGACTTAGCGCCAGCGTATACGCCTTCAACACGACAGTCTTCTGAGCGCTGCCCAGGGACTTGATCAGTGTGCTAGCAGATCCTGAGAACGAGTTCTCGATGGACGTGGCCTTCGCCTCGCCGATCGCGGCAGCGACTTTGGGCATTTGCTCGTGGAAGACGTTCTGGTAGATGACTGTCCCCAAGACGATGGAGATAGCGGCGGACACCTGGCGCAGGAAACCGAAGGTAGCTGTGCCAGCGGCCATGTCGGAGGGGTGGATGTTGGCTTGTAGAGCGACAAGCGGGGACTGGAAGAGCGGGCCGGTGCCGATACCGCCGATGATCTGGTAGATGATGATGCGGGGCCAGGAGGCGTAGTACTTCAGGTCGATGAGGAGGCCGTACCCGAGGGTCATGAGGGCGAAGCCGGCGATGATGAGTTCGCGGTATCGGCCGGTCTTTTTGATGACGAAGCCGGTGGCGGCGGAGAAGATGGAGAGGCTGAGAACGGTGGGGAGGACGTAGACGCCGGACATGATGGGGCTGGCGAGGAGGACGGTTTGGAAGTATAGAGGTAGGTAGTAGGAGCCGGAGATGAAGACCATGCTGTGGCAGAAGCAGAGGAGGAGCATCAGGACGTTGTGGGTGTTGTTGAATAGACGGATGGGGATAACGGGATAGCGAGCGAATTTCCATTCGTTGAGAACGGCGAGGCCCCAGGTGAAGACGCCGAAGACGATGAGGCAGATTACTGTTGGTGAATCCCAGGGGTAGTTGACGCCACCGAATTCGAGACCGAAGAGGAACATTAGTGTGCCGCCGAGCATGAGCATATTGCCTGTCCAGTCGATGGAGCGGATGCCAGCCCAGAAGGGGACTTTGCCGGTTTCGATCTTGAGGAAGAAGACGAGGATGACGAAGGAGACGCCGCCGATGGGGACTGGGGGTTGTTAGTGGGGTGTTAGGACTGGAGAAGGGAGGGAGGGAGGGAGGCTTACGGTTGATGTAGAAGCACCAGCGCCAGGTTACGTCTGTGGTAAAGGCACCGCCGACGATAGGGCCTAGTGCTCCGGCGATGGCCCATGTAGAGCCGAAGAGACCGTAGTACATGGGGCGTTCTCTGGGGGTGTGTTAGCGCTGGGTCAGTGGAGGACTAGTGGAGAGGTGCGACAGACCTGACACTGAAGAGATCGGAGACGCAGATATTTGCTAGCACGATGATACCACCGCCGCCTGCACCTTGGATGGCTCTGCCGGAGATAATCATGGGGAGGTTAATGGCCAGCGCGCAAATCAGACTGCCGACGAGGAAGAGGAAATTGGCGATAAGAATGATGCGCTTGCGACCCCAGACATCGCTGATTTTTCCCCATAAGGGAACACAGGCGGCGTTAGCCAGCATGTATGATGACGCGATCCATGAATAACCGCTTTCGGAAGCGTTGAAATGCGTTGCGATAGTAGGTAGGGCTGTAGAAACGATAGTCTATAGAGACAACAAGTGTGAGTAGATGTAAATGCGACGGCGCGATAAAGGGTCGTTACCATATCCAAAGCTGCTAGGAACAAGACAAGCTATATATTGAAACACCATGTGGTTAGCGATGGAGCCATCAGAAGCATGGAAAAGCAAGGGACATACACAAAGCGCAGTCATGACAACGACAATCTTCTTCCTCCCTAGCTTCTGCGCCTGCGACGGCACTCTATCCAACGGCGCACCAGCGCCGGCTTTCTCTTCGGACACATCTCCAGTCTCTTCAGGAGATGGTTGTTCTGTTGATGTCTGTGAGGGCGACCCGACAGGGTCAGGCATCTCCGAACCATCTCTGGACGAAGAGCCAACATCGGATGGTGACATCTTCTCCGCATCTACCAGGACGTCCTTGTCCTGGTCGGCATGCTGATGCTGCTGCGCGATACGATCATCCTCACGAGAAGGATCCTGAGTGACCGCCATGCTTGCAGAACTCCAGGATGAGTCTGGAGGGAGAAACAGAAGGAAAGGAAAAAAGAATGACTCAACAGAAGCCCGAAAGCTTGCTGTCCAAGAACAGAATCGGGGGTGAGGAGAAAGGAACAGTGACCCCTCAGAAGTGGCGGATTAAACCGACGGTTGCAGTCAGTCTTAAAAGTCTAGATTTTGGGGGAGGAAATCAGGGCGCAAGAGAGACCAGCTCAACTAATCAAGTAAATTAAACTAAATAGCTACGTAGCTAGACCAGGCAGGAATCTGGCCCAGTTAATAAATAATCCTTTTCCAAGGAGAGAAAATTTTCCCCTGTCAATGCTCGCGCTCGCCCTTAAGGCTCGGAGATAAGTTGAAAGAGAAACCAACGACTAAAGCCATGCCCAAAACGGGCAAGAATGCTATCGATCTCGTGGGCGCCAAACGAACAAGGCTATAACCACGCCCGAAAAAGCCACCCCACGGGCCACTTCAATCCATGGGCACGGGATGATAGTCAAGCAATCCCATGGAATGACATACAACAACTGAAAATTTGGGATAAAAATCCCGACTGCAGGAGGGAGAAAATTGGGGGGAAAGTTACAACCGTTGGCACGCCCGGACATTTTTTGGGGTCTGTCTGCATGTCTGCATGCCTGAAAAACAAACAAATAAGACCTGTCACAATCCTCCTTAGTCTTTTTTTTTTTTTTTTTTTTCTCCCCGACGATGATCTGCAGTGATGCTCTCTATCAGTCATTCAATCATGATGGAGCATCGTGGAATTGAGTCTACACCGCATCTTGACTTGCGTTCTACTAAAGCACCATGCAGCTAAGGGCATTGCAATTGCGCCCGATAGGGGGAAGTCTTGCTTCGAGACTAGGGAAAAAAGAAAAGAAATAAGCCCATGTCATACTTGTTCGCTGTAGATTTCCCGGGTTTTGCTTGCGACGAAAGATGTTACGAGAAATTAATAAGGGTATAATGTACAATTATAATTAGGGAGGAAACCCTGGAAGAATCCACCATATCATCCATATCAAAACTATCCATCCTGAAGCTGGAGGATTTCTGCGCCGACATTAGCAACCAACCATCCAACCTCATTCCACATAATCAGGGTGGGAACCAACTCACCAGTCAAGAATTCCTCAAAGCTCACCGTAATATAGCCGTCGCGATCATCATCATACCGCTTAAAGACGTCCGTCATGCGCCGCAGACTAATGCACGCCTGCACGAACAAATCGAAGCTCATGCCCTGTTTCGCCGGCCCATACGGAGGACCGTTATTTATCTGCCGGCCTTTGTTCTCGAACGTCCGGAACAGCACCGTCACAAATGGCTGGCTCAGCCGGTACCCGAAGGCCACCAGTGCATTCTCGAACTCGTACAGGCTAATGCGCCCGCTGCGGTCTTGATCGAACCGATCGAACAGCTCCCGCCACGCTGCAAGGTAGCGCCACAGTGCCACAAACTCGTCAAATGAGATCGTCCCGCTGTTGTTCCGATCAAACATGCGGATCATCATCTTAACGGTCTTGGGGTGAAACGACGTGAAGTCTCCGTTCACTAGAGCAGAGCCCAGCTCCATCTCTGTGAGTGTGCCCGAATGCGACGTGTTGGCAGCGCGGAAAAGGGGGAATAGCTGTTGCGGGTCGTCATCGGGGACTGCCAGCGCGCCATGGTTCGGCGAGTTGGGCGGACGCGACGCGGGCGGCGGACGATTGCGCACTGGCTGGCTAGGAGGCGGCCCGAAGCCGTAGTTCTGCGGAGGAGGAGAAGGGTGTAGTGGGTGAGGGCGTTGTTGTTGACTCGCTGGAGGGACGTTTGCCGGCGACCGTCCACCATGCGGGGCCTCCATGGGGGGACGCTGACTCGGTGGTGCACCGTAGCGCTGGGGATGGGGATTGCCGGCACTAGAAACGGGGACTCGAGGTGGGACGCCGCTGGAGGAAGGGTGAGGAGACGGGCGAGAATGCTTCTGGTGGTGCGAGTTGCTGGATTGCATGGCACCGAGCATTTGCGCTACCTAATTGTCATAGACCGAGTTAGGAGGCGCGGGGCATTCAACCAGGCAGACAAAGAACCACTCTCGAGGAGAAACTACCGCACCTGTTCCGGCTCTGCATGCCTGTATCGATTTATGGCTTGTTAGCGACCCCATTCATCACTTCTGATTAACCTCCTGAGGATTGTGACTCACGCTGGCAGCGCATCGGGGTTGTAGGACTGGTTGTATGCCATGGCCGCGGATCTGACGTAACTAATGCCGGGCGCAATCCAGCGAGGGGCAGAATGAAAAGGTAAACGCCCAGTTACAAAGGGCGGGTTTTGAAAGGGGAGAAAAAGAAGGGAGAGAAGGAGAAGAAAGAAAAAGATGGGTTGGGATCAAAAGGAGGTCAGGGAGAGCGATGGAGAGATTAAGTTCTGTTCCATGGGCTGCTAGTCATTAACGAACAGATTGTTTTTGCGGCCTTGGGAGCGGAGCAGTGGGGCGGCGGTTCAGCAGGAGTCGCCAAGCGGAGATGCTCAGGCACCGCTTCAACTAATAAACTTGTCCTGCCACCCCTGCAAGGAGGCTGTGTATATACCTCTACAATGAGGAGGCAGCAACAATTGCTTCAGATAGAAATAGTCCGTCGCCAGTGTAACCTTACCCTCTTGACAGCCGCAACGGACGGTCCGCAACCAAACACTGGCATGTCCGACCGTTCTCAGCCCTATGTTGGAGGCTTCTTTATTTGTTCCGGAAATGCTTGGCCCACTGGTTCCTCTTCCATTCGCGGTGGAGCCTGGCCAGCGTCTGTTCGTCGGGGAAGGTCTCTTTCCTATCAAATTATGGTCTGGTATGGTCTCGCTATGAATACTATCACCCATCAGTCACGCTAGCCAGTCATTCAATTGGCCCCGTGCAGGAAGGCGTAGACGTATCGCCCGGGCTAGTGAAGATTAAGCGCTTTTACCACCCCCTGATTGACTCCTTCAGCCCCTCGGATTGCTCCTCCAGCTCGTTCATGATCTCCGTCCACGCTCTCGCCTGGAACTGCTTTCCTTCCGCTCCCGTTGTCAACGCCACGGATTCACTGCCCTAACATTAGCAACCCTGCCACAAATACAACACGTAGAAATATCACAGAAGAGAGACACTTACTCTAGATATCCATCACTCCGCCAGCACTTCCCATGCGACTCCACCCCCTGATAAGTGGCACTGACCAACGACCGGCTCCCTTGTTCCGCCGTGCGCGCAAATAGCTTATAAGCCAACCACGTCGCCCACCGCTCGTAGAATCTACTGTACTGCCGTCCAAGAGACGAGACACAAAACCCAGGGCTTACAGTGTTGATGATGACCGGCACAGTGCCATTCTCATTCCGAACAAGACCAGCTACCGTCTTGAGAACATACTCCAGAAGAAGCTTAGAGATACCATACTGCTTGGGGCCTTTGAAGGTCTGCGGGCTATTCAGATGCTTTAATAATGGCTGCACCGTCCGAAGACTCTTAGCTTTCACGCGCACGAACTGTTGGCTGGACACGACCGTAAGATGAGCCGGGTCGGACAAGGATGAGCTACTCCTTAGTTTCGGCAGGAGCAACAGCGCCAACAGGGAAGTGGATAACGTATTGACCTGCAATGTTTCCTCCCATCCCTCGGGCGATACGCCGAAATCTCGGTTCCATATTCCGGCGTTTAGTAACGCAATGTCCAATTGGTGCAACTCCTCGTTCACCCGGTTTGCGAAACTCTTGACGCTCTGGAAGCTGTTCATTTCCAGCTGCCATACTTGAATCACCCCTTGTCTGTTTGTAAGCTTCTCAAGCTCCGTCTTGGTCGCTTGGCCTCGCTGGAGGTTCCGGCTCCCTATAATGAGCGACTCCACCCCGAGATTGAGGAGCTTGACGGCGGCCTCGAACCCCAGTCCGGATGTAGCTCCGGTCAGGATGACCGTTTTTCCTGCAAATGAAACCCCACTGGGGTCGACCGGTGGGTTATACTGGGTGCGTAGTAGACGAAGGAGGCTAGTCATGATGCAGTTAATCGGCTCGCGACAGAACACTATACAATCCAGGGGGCATAGAAGGACGGCCAGGCATTGATGTAGCCTAAAGGAGCTGACAATCGACACAATCAGGTCGATCAATTAATCTAAGCTGAACAGGGATGCGTCTTCGGAGGATCGGATCCAACCCAACCCTGCATAAAGTTGAAAGATGGTTGAATTCAATTGATTAGCGATCCGCCATGGACGATAGCTGCCAGGCGGTTTAGCTTGAGCTAAGGCCGGGTCCGGCGTCTGGGCCGCCCCGCAGCAATACTCGACGCGGCTTTACGAGTACGAGCAGTTTCTGCAGTCCGCCAAGGTCCTCAGCAGAAAGTTTGCCGTTGATTCCGGTAGTGACAAGCGGTTCCCAATTTTTCCGGTTCGCAGATATATACCTGTTAATAATATGAGGCTTGGAATAAAGTAACTAGAAATCTGGGGATAGTGCTTAGAACTTAGTATTAGAAGAAATGGAGAGCGAATGAGAAAGCAGGAAAGTGGCAAACATCCTTTGGGCGCGGATCAGGTCAGGGGACTTCGCAAACAATGCAAACACGCAGAGGCCTTTCTTGCGACTATCTGGCTCAGTTGTTCGCCATTTGCAATCATAGACTGACAAATCTGGGGTGTTTGCTGCCTTCAAAAGCAGTCGTATTGTTTCTATTGCTTTCTTTAAAGAGCCTTTTCTTAGACAACTAAAAGTCAAAAGACCTTCCTCCCTATAAAACACCACTTCTTCCCCCCTACCCATCAATATATATCCAACACGCAAACTCGAATGAGGGGTAATATATAGTACCCCGCAGACCAGCCGAATTATCCACACCGACAAAGATCATCAGCCCAAAAGAACCATACCAAAAACTCACCCCAAATATAAGTTAAGCTATGGTGTCCAGCGAGGAAGCCGGACATCATCATGTCCTTTCATCCGAAAAGGGCTGGCGCGAAAACTTCCCCGACGGCGACCTCTGGGTGTTCGGCTACGGGTAAGCCTATCAGGTCCTTGAACGCGATTGGCGCGGTGATTATCCCATGACTGGGTGACGGTGGTGGCTGACCCTTTGTTCTTTTCTTGCTGCCAAAAGGAGCTTGATTTGGAAGCCTCCGCCGCATTTTGGTATGTTGATGTTGCTCTGGAGAGATAAGAGGGTCTTCGGGGACCTTGATTGATTCAGAGTGAATTGATTGTTAATTGTCGTTGTGGTAGATCAGCGTGTTCCCGGTTATATCAATGGCTATGTCCGACGGTTTTGGCAGGTATGTTGTTGACTATGTCATTGTCTATTTCTTGATGTTTGCTTGATTTGTCTGTGGATGATACCGATTGGTGATGATGCTAACTGAGTCATTTGAATCACAGGCTAGGTATGTCTGAATATGCTTTCAAGCTGCGAAAACCTATTGTTGCAGCACAATAGGCTAACACGCAGGACAGTAACGATCACCGCGGCACAAAAGAGAACCCCGGACGGGTATTAACAGTGATTGACCGGGAGTTCTGGGAAACTCTCGATGATCCGGTATGATTCCTTTGCTCCCTTCTGCGCCTGCACATATCCTGTTCCTCTGGTCAATTATCTCACAAACCACCCCTCTAAACAGCTAGCACACCATGAAACCTCCGCAACAGCTACAGTCTGGGGTGTAGCGTACCACATCCCTGCCAGCCACGCCAATGAAGTCCGACAATATCTTGACATTCGGGAAATCAATGGCTACTCCGACCATTACACGCCGTTCCACCCGGTCCTGACACCCCAGGGAGCTAGATCTACGGTCACCTCGGACTATCCCGCCACCCCCATCACCTGCATGGTTTACATCGGCCAGCCCAGCAATCCGCAATTTCTACGTGACCCCGCACAGCGTGAACAACAGGCGGTGGCCGAGGTGATTAGTCGCAGCGAGGGCAAAAGCGGGAAGAACGCAGAATACCTGTTCATGTTGGAGAAGGCGCTTGAGGGGCTTGGGTTCGGGAATGCTGAGATGCATGTCACCGATCTAGTGAAACGGGTTAAAGCGCTTCAGAACGAGGAAGAGGTGCGTAGGGAAGAGGAGCAGGCTGAACGGGACTTGGAAGAGTCGCTGCATCCATCGGCGCGGGAAGCACATGAACGGTTCCCGCCTGCTGAGTAGACATGTCTGAATAAGAATATAGAGAGATAGAGATGATGAGATTGGGATAGATCATGACTTGGACCTAGATTAATTCCAAATTCACGATAGAGCACTGATTGCTTTCGCTGGACCACTTTCCCATCGGCCTCAAATCAGGTGTTAACATAAGCCAGATTACATACATGTCAACCATGACCCGAGTAAACGACGTCAGAAACAATTGATTTAAAGCCACGCGATGCGAAACCATATCAAACCACGAGAGAGATGTCATTATCGCAATGAACTGGCGTGAGAGGGGAAAACAATAACGGAAAGAAACAAGAGATAGGGGTCGTTTCGTCGTAAGTCACCATCATAAAAGCTGGGTAGCATGCGCCCGGGGTTTTATCCCAAACTTTATGTCCGAAGGGACTAACAGCAGCTGACATGCGAGAAAGAGGGAAAAAATCGTGAAAAGAAATGAAGAATAGGACAAGAGACCGGTCCGTAGTAAGCCATCGGCAATGCTATAATAGCTTGCGCAGCTTACTCTGCAGCCTCAGGCTCCTGCTGCTGGGAACGCCAGCCTGCTTTTTATTAGCTACAATATGTAATTTGGAGGGGAAAAAGAGGGCCTTGATGCCAGTGCCCCCTAGGGAGATAGAAGAGAAAAACTCACCGCCGCCGTTGTAGCCACGGTTGTAGCCACCGCGTCCGTGGAAACCACCACCACCACCCATGCGCGGTCTCGACTCCGAGGCTTTGTCGACACGGATGACACGGCCGTCGAATCTGAAATTTGTCAGTGTTTGGAAATGAAACATCTAGAGGTCTTGCTTACTCCTGGTTGTTCATGGCGTTCATGGCAGCGTCGGCCTCAGCATCAGAGGCGAAGCGGACGAATCCGAATCCACGGCTGCGGTGGGTGTCATGGTCCTTGACGACAATCTGAGTTTGGTCAGTACGAGCATAATGATGGAGAACTTTCATTGCTCCGCGAGACATGGATGACCAACGGCTTCTTCGATTGTTCCATATTGCGAGAATCCCTCACGGAGGGTATCGTCAGTGGTGTGCCAGGCAAGGCCGCTGATTTTGGTCAGTATGCTATTGGGGCCGGGTGGCCAGAAAGGAAAAAGAATTGACAGACCCGATAAAGAGCTTAGACATTTTTATTGAGGTTTCCTACAACGGAGCTGGAAACTATTCTGGTAGTAAGCACCTGCGGAATGAGGATGTCACAGCGAAAAATGAGGGGTTGGATGCGATGGTTTCTTTGACAAAGTAGTCACGTCGAACTTTGAGAAAATCTCACAAAAGCCGACCAAAGAAGAGACCTAAGAATGTAGACGGAGGAAGAAAAAGCAAAAAGAAGTGGGAGAGAGAGAGAGGATGAAGGGGAATGGTTTTAAGAGAGACGACAGCAGACCCTGGAGGGTCCTCTCCACGACGGAGATTCAGTGAGACCGTTGCAAGTGACTCCACCAAGCATGAAACTAAAACATACTGCCAAGGGAAAGACGAAGAGAAAGAAGAGACTGACCTACCTGATTTGTGAGTGGTGCTTGGAATTTGAGTAAGGGATGGAGGGGTAGTTGTAAACTAAGGAAGCAGTTCTGCAGAACCGGGACCAGGAATGGGGGGGGGGAGTTTTAGGGGGGATTTAGTTTTGTAGGAACCGGTGAGAATGACGAAGAAGAAGAAAACGCGGCTGGCAAAGCGGGGGGGAAAAACGAAAAAAAAAAGAGAGGGAAGAAGGGAAGAGGGAAGAGCCTGCCTGGCGTGCTCGAGGCTCTAAGGGAAGGGAAGAGAGAGCATCAGGGCTGTTTGTCTTAATAATGCAAACCAGCGATGGGATTGGAGACGCTAAAGACTCATGCCCGGCGCACCTCCGTTCCCCTCCTCTCTTGGAAAATTATTGGAAAATTGGGGAGAAAACGATGAGATGTCCGCCGGTGGCTGTAGCCGTTGCACTGGGATCACATTTCTCCGTAGATTCCGGTGGGTGGAAATTTACTTCAAGTTGGTTTGGCGACCTTCCAGCAAGGCGCTTGGAACTACTTACTGTCTACTCTACTTGGATGGCGGACGATGCTGAGCCTGCTTTTGAGGATGCGAGAACCGGAAACCAGGCCGGCACTGAAAGGGAGCTAGGTAAGGACTAGAGATCGGCTAGGTCTCTATGCATGGCGTCGAAGCTCAAGGACACAACGGGTGTCAATTTGCAGCTCCCGTTGACCGACGAAGAACTACTCATGTCCCCGGATCCTCGTCGTAGGGCTGTTTAAGATGCCGGACATGGTCTATCTTTCGCTGCACGGACGCTGCTGTTCAACCAACCCAGCAGCTTGTATTGCTGGCATTTGAAGTTGTAACTTACACATGCCGGGAGCATAGACTGGCACTCGTCTGGTACCTGCCAGCTATCTATCTAGCTTATCTGACAGGCCCGGGTCTTCACTACTAAGCAATTCCCGGGTAGAAGTATTCACTGGACGAAGCATTCTAGCTACTGGTGGGGCCAGACCTGCACCGTGCTTCTTTCTATTCACCACACACTCTCATAGCCACCTCCCTCAATTGCTCTCCACTGGCTTCTTTATTGACCATCAGAATCTGTTTTGGGATTTGATGGGCTGCATGCTTTTCAGCTGCACTCAGGAGTTTGAATTTTCTCAGCAAGTGCGAGCAGCGCATGGACTATGTCCAACCCCCAAGTATGAAGGTAGTGTTACCTTCTACCTTTTCTTCCTCTACCGTCAACCTTGTTTTTTCTTCCTCACTCACGGTGCTTCATCCTTCACCCTGAGAACTGCCTCGATATTCTAGGGCCTCATCAGGATGGGTGACATCACTATTGAATACAGTGTGAATATCGATCAAGATGGCCGCGCAGTGGTCAAGAACCCTATAGGTGCTTACGATAATGTACCACATTCAGGATGGCAGCCATCTGTCGATAAACGGACATCCGAGATCAAGAAATGTGCCAGAAATGCCCGCGCGCACAAGATGAGCATAACAGAAACAGCCCCTGACGACGGCGTGGCGGTGACAGGTGTTGTGTAGGACAACAGGGTATTGGCTAAAAGAATGGTAGCCTTGCGTATCAACTAACCGCTGCTCGCTCTGCAGCAATCAATGCAGCATCTCTCGGGTGAACTGAGGCAATCGGAAATTACTGTGACCATGAAACATCATGGTCTACAGCTGACCAGGCAAAACCACAAACTCCGAGGAATCCCTTGAAGGATGTACTGCCGACCTCAAGGACTGCTAAATCTCATTATGCTGACAGCCTTCCCTTGAAATGCCTTTCCTGCGCAGTATTGAATCCTATACGCAACACGTTTGAGACTCCATGCTCCCATCGATATTGTCGAAGGTACACAACAAGCTAATCGACGAAGACCCCCTTTATTGAAGGCCCAATTTCATCTCCCTATTGCTGCTGCATGTCTATCCCTTTGACTTTGCTTCTTAGATAGCTGGCAATAACCGGAGGGAAAACGAATGGAGCGGCAGGATATCACTTGCCATTTCCCCAGGCACAGCATGTAATAGACCCCCGTTTTGCAAGGGTACTTCTCAGAGTACGAGATATACCTCTAGCGGAGATACAGCAAAAATCTGTCTTGTGTTGCTGAAGAGTATAGCGCCGTTGATCGGGATTGGAAAGTCCCCAACCATCTTGATACTCCCGAGATATCACTGTTATGTGTTGAAGACAAAAGTGAAGTGAAAAATGGGGAGATACGATGTGACAACCTAGTAGGAGACTTAATACCGCGAATAGAAATACAGATATCCTCAATGGTCTCATTGAAAAACACATGTTTTACCCGTCTCGGATTCTCCTTCCCAGCTTAGCTCTATATTACACTGACTCAGTAGTCAAGTGGTCATGTTCGGCAACCGCGACATCATCTGAAGCAACAGTGACGCTAAGCGTTGGTCGCGATGTGGTCGGGGAGCTCCTGCCCACCCACCCATCCACCCACCCACACACACACGTTCCACAACTCTCACTACATATCCCCTCGAATCACTGACCACAGCTCTATCTCTGACCAGCTTACACAACATGGCTCAAGTTGGTTCTAATCCGCTACGGCACTCCGATCTCTATAACAGAGTGCAGGACTGGATAACTAAATCAGATGCCGCGCACAATAGCCACGAACCACGATATACAAGCTCTCTACGCCACCGTATGTCCCGTTCATCGTTATACGTATCTGAGGCCATATGTGCATCTCTGACAACTTGCAGCTCCTTCCTATTACCTACAACCAGTGTCTTATGCCTTCGACAAAGATAGATACGAAGAAATAAAGAAAATGAACGCGGAACCTGAGAACATGCCAGCAAGTTTTGCTGAGCGGCAGCCAGGTTGGCTTGGCTGGGAGAATTATTATGCTGAAAGAGGAGGTGTCACTGTGTGTTATCCCTCTGTGCGACAACTACAGCAGGCTCGTGTGGGCCAGATGACTTCACTCGAGCCAACAGGATCCCAACAGCCAATTGCATCGTCAACAGCGATTGATCCGGCAACGTCTTCACACTCCAAAGAAAGGGGACGTCACGGATATGAGCGGCAGCCTCGACACAGAACTAAGAATGGCCGATACGACTACAAGGTTCAGGATAAGAAGATCAGCGAACGCCCTCGTTCGAAGAAGAGGACATTCAACGACACCTTTCATGCTCCCAACGTGCCCTGTGATCGTCTGACTGTAAGTGACATGCTACCGGGCCCTGTATGAGATTGCTAACACCATCACAGTTGAGCCAAAGGCGTACAAGCGGAATTTTCAAAAGAGGAAAGGCATCATCTCCTATCAGAACCCGCAGCCGCGATCCCTCGCTAGGGTTCTTTGAGGTAGATACGATCGTGAACACAGATACCATGAGAGCCAGCGCTGGCTCTGGTTTCTCTGAAAGCGACTTCCTTACAAAAGGAAGAACCAATAACGCTACCCAGATTGGCTCGTTCTATGGACATCTCGAAGATGACTGTTATTCAATCTCATCAGGGACCATCTCGGACACTGCCTCTACAGTCGCCTTCTATTGCTCACGAGAATTGGCAGAAGCAGACCACATTGTCACCGAGTCCATGGACATGAATGCCACTTCAGAACCTGCTACAGATAGTTACGTGCCTGCTTGTGGTAACTCGTCAAGTAGAAATTCTGAGGTGCATCTCGAAGAGAATCCATACCCCCACTTGAATATTCAATATATCATTGATGACACAAGCATAGGTGAGGGCCAACACTGCTCCACTAGGCTTCAAGATGGTGTCTCACAGAAGTGCAAGCATCCATTTGACGTCATGAGGTCAAATGAGGTCGCAGAAAAGCCTTCTGATGAAGACAAAGCGGGTGGCCAAAATAGTAAGGAACGAGGAACAGACGAGGTTATTGCTACAGCTCGTGTGCACGATAATACAATCAACCAGTCTGCCTTGCCCAATGCCAGCAAGTGTCGGCAGCCAACCTTGGAGCCTCGCAGCAGAACCGTAGCTGATACTGAAGAATTTGACTATGAAGGAGTAATGGGTGCCAAGCTCCGAGGAACAATCACACCAAGCTACAATCAACTCCATTGGTCCCCATATCATGGCGGCAGTAGAAAGATGTCCTTGATGTCCGATGTCGGCATTTGTGGCGAGAACTCGCAGGGTCATCAAAGTCAAATTAGACAGACCATCGAGGAGCCAGATTATGAGAGCGTGGACTTCACAGCTGTTCCTGAAGCCAATGACTGCTGCTCAGAGGTGGCCAGTTTGATTGACCTGGAGGAGTGGGAGACAGCATCTATCATTGTTGATATGGATACAGAGCTTGACACCCAGGTCTTGAGTATGCCGACCTCGAGCGCAGCCAATTGCAATAACACACAAGAAATTCGGAAACGACTGGAGGCCACACAGCTTTGCGCAAGCATTCAGGGAGAAAAGCCGCACCGTTTGTGGGAGGCCAGGCTTGAGAAACCTTCCACTGCTTTTTGTTCTACCGACAGCATGCGGGACACCCCTTCAGCTGTCAAAGAAAGCCAGATGAGGGGCGCAAGTCAGCTGTCAGTTCATGATGAATCAATAGAATCAGAAGCCAGGACCACTTTCCGTCCGGGACCCTGGCTGGAGTCGCTGTCACGACGAAGGGGTGGAGCCATTGGGATAGGAAATGGCCGCTTGGACCCCACTGATGGGCTTGGGACATTTTGGCAGCAAAGAATGGGTTACTGATAGATAGCTGTTGGGGGCCGTTATTGCTCACTTGCTTTATTGGGCGATTTTGCTTTGTTATTGCTGACTACTCGACACGATGATGTTTTTCATGTATACTAAATGTTGCAGATCCTCCAGGATACACAATATACCCCTTTGCTGTTGCTCATCCAGCATGCCGAGACTTGGCCGGCCCCGGTAGCACAGATGGGTGCCAGATCGATTGACCATGCAATAATTGAGAGACGATAATTAATCCGGCTGGCCTCGTAGGCAGGCGCAGCAACCCTTACGACGCCTGAATGAATTGCGATCGACAACGTAGCGGCCGACATTTGCTTTTTCGGCCGCAGTAGCGTGGGATAGTAGTCGTACACAATCAAGAAACTCAATAATGGGGCTTCCCTTGTGACAGTTGAGTAGTTAGTAGTCCCGACAGTATGGTTGCTTTGTTTGAACCCCTGACTTGTATCACCTCGTGTCTATCATCGTCAACTTAGGGATCCCCGACACACTGGTTCTGTTATACCTGACATGCAGGGATGGAGCAGTTAGCGTATATTAGACCAGTCAGTCAGCTAGCAAGCCTTTAAAATAGGCAACGAAAACAACGTAGGCAGAAGAGAGCAGGCATTACTACGGAGTACTAGTCCTACTACTACGTAGTAGGTATTGGGGTGACTGGGATGAGGATCCTGCCGTGTGTTGTCTTGCCCTACTGTACTTAATACACCCTACTACTACTAATACTATTTAGGCCTACTAAGCAGGGTATAATATATGCAATGTAACGTCGTTAGATGGAGAAATTGGATTGGATTGGATTGATCTATCCATCACGCTACGGAACCATTCCCCCGGGTCCGCCCTTTTCCTTTTTTTCTTTCCCATGAAAGACGGTATAGATAGTAAGTACCTACCTACTAACCATAGGAGTAAGAGTTATATATGTATGAGGTTCTGGATTCGGTATGGATTGGCTTTAACTATGGCTGTTAGTTACTAGTGGGATCTAGTTCTGCTGTCATTGATACCTGACGGGGTTTGATGGTGTTTTAGTCTCGGGGACTGGGCATCAAGGCGTTGATTGATTGATTGATTGAGTGATTGGGTTTCGGGGTGATCACGATCATGATCATGATGATGCTAGTGATCTACTCTTGGGTAGGCGTGTGCACTTCGTCAAGTGGTTCACAAGTAGGGTGCTCTGCTTACCATGTAGAATGCTTTTACTCGTTGAAACGAAATTAGAAGTAGTAGATCACTGTAGATGATGATGATAACACGAGAGAAAGGCAATCGACTCGAACTTCGATCGATCTAAAACCCATCAATGACACAGACCAGACCAGGCAAGTCGCCGAAGTGTGCACAGCCCACGAGAGAGAGAGAAAGAGATCAGACCACGCCCAGCATACGAAAGGTTTAGTATCTAGTACATGCATTAGCCCAGCAGCAGCAAATCAACCCAACCAACCCCAAGTAGAAACACCGGCGCTGACGATCCCGGACCCGACGATCTGGCACTGGCGCATGGGAAGAAAAAAAAATGCAATGTAACAACGTTCCCCTTTCCCCGTCATCCATCATCCCCCCTGATTAACCAGGCTAGCTGCGGGAAACCGTTAGTTTTGTTTTTTTGTGCGTGTGTGAAGCCCGAGGGAATGGGTTACCTTTCAAGACATACATGCATGTGGCAGATAGTTAGTTAGATGGTGCGGTTGCTGATAAGGGTGTAGTACTTCATGATGTGTGGTTGCACATACCATACATATCCCCTTTTTCCCATCATTCCTCTATCTATCATGCTCCTCTGCGCTAGTGCCCATCACCGTTAGTTTTCTATTTCCGGTTCAAGGTGGTACTGCTGCTGCTGGCGATGAAGCTGTGGTGCGTTTCTTTTCTTTTCTTTTTTTCATATGTTTGGTTGCAGATCAGGGTTTGGATTGCGTGGCGTGGATGGGCAGGGCACACAGACAGGCGAGATGGGCTGTGTTTTGCTTGAGGGGTATGTGATACTTCTACAATTAGTTACTGTGAGGGGTAATCTTTTCAGTTGCATTAGCGCAGAAGATGTTTGAGCGTTGCCTTTGCCTTACCTTTACCTTGCAGTAGGCTGATCCGGGCTGTTGGGTCTTTTTTTTGTGTGTGTCTGGTTTGGTCTGTGGGGGTCTAGATGAGAGGAAGAGGGGAGGTGACGAATGTGCGTGAGTGAGTGAATGGTGGGAGGTTATGCGCTAGAAGGGGGGTGTACTACTACTACTACTAGTATATAAGATGTGTTTGCTAACCGCTTGTATGGGCATTGAGTGTTTTGTAACTGTGTTAGTTTTCACTATATATCTACTGCTGCATTTCAATTCACAGACTCATCTACATATATTCTATCATAAAGCCTTATCGAGCAAAGAATCATCATCATGTCTTCCAACCGATTGACTGAGCACAACCTCTTCATCCACGATCAAACCATCGTCAATCAAGTGCGTCTATGACCCTTCACCACCATTATATAACGTCTCTGACAAGTATCCAGGACTCCAAACAAATCCAAGACAATACCCAAAAGCAGAACCAGATACCATCCTGGCTCACAACACTCATATCCTCCGAACGAATGCACAAGCTCAACGCCCAGTTGGCTCTCAACATCTCCAGCAATCATACTGCCAATCCCACAAAAGACACAGACATCGACATCGATGCAGACATCCAACACATCACCAACGTCCTCTCATCACTCCCACCCCACGACCCTATCTTCTCCCGCTTCAAGCTGCTGGAAGATATCCTCAGTACACAAACACACAACCGCCAGGAGCACGATGACTCAAACCCTATCCCTCTAGAACGCTTCCTCACCCCCGGACACAGTGATCCGTACTATATTGTGGAGAGGGCGCTAGAGGAGCTAGGCGTTCCGTTTGGGGGCCTGGAGAGTGGTGAGGTCAGAAGAAACGTGGCGAGTGCGAATGTTGATGCTGCGAGGGAGGCTGCGATGGGGATGGGGGCGAATAGTGTGTGTGAAGGGAGGGTGGGTAGGACTATCTAGGTGGCTGGTTGGTTGGTTGGTCATGACTGGGTCAGGCGAACTGGTTTCGTTTCGTTTGTTATGTGGTTAGGGGATATGGCTTGCGCGGGCGAGTTAGGGTTTGTTACTCTGGGTAGATGGGTTTCTTTGCATGCGTACATGTACTCTGGGAGTATATAAATGATTGAATGAGATATACTTTGCTTTGCTGCGTGATACATTTGAATGGTAGTAGTATTACTAGATGTCAATGTATCTGTTGATAGTATTTGGAATTGGGTATATTATACTAAGGAAAGTCAGATCATGCATGTAGTATGCATGGTATGCTATGCCATCACCACCACCACCACCACCACCACCATTCATCAATCAGTCAATGAGTAGTCTCTGAAGAAAGTATAGAACAAAGCAAAGCAAATATGTAAATAACACCAAAACCAACAAAAAAACTCAACAAATCTACCCCCACTTTCATAAAACACGAACCCATACTCCTCTTCCCAACAAGAGGGGAAAGAAAGAAAGAAAGAACGAAAGAAAGATGCTTATATCGGAGCCATTGCCTCCACAGCTCCCGTCCCCTTGAACACTCCAGGTTTGGTAACCACGACTTCAACCGGGTACTTCCATTCCATGAATCTGGTCCAGCCTGTGCAACGATAGATCATTAGCATATGGTCTTCACATTATCCCTCCCACACCAAAACCAGAGAAAGTAGGGGTATACATACTCCAATAAGCACACTTCCTACCCAAGTACTTCCCCACAAAAGGCACCAGCACCATCGTCAACAACAACTCTAATTGCTCGATGCTTTCGCGCCATTCTTCTTCGGCGTCCGAGTAGTCCGAGTCGAGGGAGTCGAGGTCCGAAGCGGAGGTAGATTCGGATGGGAGGGAAGCGACGTCGTCATCTGAGGCGGAGGAGTAGTGTTTGTCTTGGGAGGAGACCATGAAGGCGGAGGTGCTGAGGGAAGCGGAGGGGGAGGGGGAGGCCATCTTTCTTGGTTCTGGTTGGATGCGATGGTATACTTGAAGATTGTGTTGTATGCTAGAGAAGGAGAAGAGAGTAATCAAGCAGGGCCTGCCACTGCCTGACGAATGTTATGGCATAAATAAATATAATCAATCAACGAGGATGAAGCTATACACAGACAGACACTAGCTAGTTCGGTGAACCTAGTTATGGTCTGATGTAATCCAGGGGAGAGACACCGACAGACAGAGATCTCACGTGCCAGGATCACAATACCGGACGGTAATGGCAATACAAACTTGACTCATTATAGTCACGTGTCAGGAGCCCGCGATAACAGCGATTCTTCGCCATCGAGTCAGCGCAACAACCAAACTTCGAGATTCAACCAGCTCAAACCGCAATCTCTAGAGCAATTTCCGTCATCTCTCGCGAACCCAACAAACAATCTACTGGAATATATTGTCCTGGTGGGAAGTTGAGAAACGCTCATTCTCTCCGATAATCAAAAAACGGCCAGCCCAAATATGGCGGAGACTGTACGTCACACCCCCGTTTTCCCTTTACCGATCGGTTTCCCTCCCACATTTTCTTCATCACATTTCGCCGTGGGACCATCTCGACTCCCTCCGCTTTTGCTTTCTTGAAGCACCACCTCAACCCCCGTGTTCTTTTCCCTCTATATACCCATTACCTGTTGTGCAACGCTCGGACGCGATTTTTGCGAATCGAGCTTCACACTGGTTGACCTTTCTTTAGTGTGTTCCAGCGCTTCTTTTTTTGGGTTTTCTATTTCGCCCCTCCCGCTAACGTGTGTTTGGGCTGGTCCGGATTAGCAGGTTGAATCCGCTCCCCAAAAACAACGCAAGTCCGTCGCATTCAGTGAAGGTGCTGTCATTATGGATACCAACGGCGAAGTGACGGAGGCTGCTCCGGTTGTTGAGAAGCCGGTCGCTGAGACTGAGGGTATATCTATCTTTCTTCCCTTATCCTCTCGTGGATATCAAATTTGATATTGACCTCTACATTTTAACCCACAGACAAGGCCGTCGACGAAGTTACCGAACTCTTCAAGGGTCTTTCGAAAAAGAAGAAGAGCAAGAAGCCCAAGGACACCGAGGGCGGTGATGACGAGACCCCCGCCGCCGACGGCGAGTTCGACCCCTCCGCTCTGAAGAAGAAGAAGAAGAAGCCGAAGAAGGTCGACGCCGGTGATTTCGAGGCCAAGCTCGCCGAGGCCGGTGTTGCAGAGAAGGACGGTGCCGTCGCCGAGGAGAAGGAAGAGGTCGTCCCCGAGGGAGACCACGAAGCTGGAACCGGTATCTGGGCTCACGACGCCGCGCAACCCATCCCCTACTCGCTGCTTGTGTCCCGATTCTTCTCCCTCATTCAGAGCCACCACCCCGATCTGTTGTCCAGCGGTACCAAGTCGTATAAGATCCCGCCGCCCCAGTGTCTGCGTGAAGGTAACCGTCGTACGATTTTCGCCAACATTGCCGATATCTGCAAGCGCATGAAGCGGTCCGATGATCATGTTATGCAGTTCTTGTTCGCCGAATTGGGTACCAGTGGTAGTGTCGACGGTAGCCGTCGTCTGGTTATCAAGGGTCGTTTCCAGCAGAAGCAGATTGAGAACGTCTTGAGAAGATACATCGGTATGTTCAACAGCCTGGTGTTATAAGGTCATTATAAGCGTATTGATACTAACATTTTACAGTCGAATACGTCACCTGCAAGACCTGCCGCAGTCCCGACACCGAGCTCAACAAGGGTGAGAACCGTCTATACTTCGTCACCTGCAACTCTTGCGGTTCTCGTCGTTCCGTCGCCGCCATCAAGACTGGTTTCCGTGGACAGGTCGGCCGCAGAAAGAGACAGGGTTAAATGGGATAATGGAATTTTTGTCAAAGGGGGAGAAGTATCCATGGAGGAAGCTACTACCATGGTGTCTTCGGTGGTATCTTCTGGCGCGGTTATGATTTGTTTCCCCCGCCTTTTTCGTATACAAAGACTTCTTCTTTCTTTTTTTTTCTTATCCTTTTTGCATTCCATCTCTTATGTGAACATGTGGATGATGAACGTTGTGTGATCAATCGATCCATTCTTGGCTTTCGATGGTTCGGTTTCAGGGTGCAAGGGATTAAAAAAAAGGGAAGAGGCGAGAGAGACGAAGTGAAGATTTCTTAGCATGGCATGATAGGTAAATGGATTGGTATGACCTTACTCCGATTTCACGTATTCTGGCGATATGGCAGATGAAGCAGAAATTGTGCTGTACTTTGCTCAGCCTTGAAAAAGCGGTCGAGCCTGCCAGAGTCATGAAAAGCTACCCAAAAGAAGTGACAGAAGATATCCAATTTTGTGACTATGCAAGATGGACTTCGTAGAAAGCACAGGAGTAGATACAAATACGTGTCAGGTATATAGCAGAGGAAGTATATCAAGCCAAAGCAGCCAGAAGAACCAAAGAATGCCAAAAATTGCCAAAAAGTATGATACTAGCGATCATGATGAGCTCAACAGATCACCACGTCTGCGTCTTTAGTTTTTAGCAAGACTAGTGCCCAGATGGGCAACGAAGGAGGACACATTGCGTGTTTGCATGAAAACAGTGCCAGGACCTGTAAACCTACATGCAAGTCCCTCACCAGCACTCCAGTTAGAGATAATACCACCGGAAGCAACTCGTTCAATCTTGTAGCGGCAGTTCCAGGCCACCAGATGGCCGTTGTTCACGTAGTACGTTTCATCATCGGCGAGCTGAGAGTTCCGTTAGTTAGGCTTCATCCGTTGGGTGTTCATGAGGGGCATGTGCACAGGGCTAATCGCATACCTCTTTCTTGACAATCGCCCCGAAGCTCTGCATCCACACCAGACCGGAGCCGCTGAAGTTAAAGACAATGAAACCTTCACCAGAGAATACACCCTTCATGAGACCCTGGGTCTTGAATTCAATCTTGACGCCTGTCGTGCAGGCAAGGAATGCGTCTTTGCCAACTGTCCAATCTCTTGTACCGTCGACGCGGAGAACAGTAACATCTCCAAGAATGGAGGGAGCAATCAGAAGCTCTCCAGGACCGGTGTATGTTGACCGGGCCAACTGCCCTCCTGCAAGGGCTTTCATCCATCCGAATGAGAGCGAGCCTCTGAGGGACATGGAGGGGGACATTGCGATCATGACGCCTGCCGTATGTGAATGTATTAGTATTCTGTGTAGTCAATGATGAGGTTAGGTTGGCTCACCCGGTCTCGCCTGTATGGGGCATCCCACTGCTAACTGGATGGTCAAGAGTGTGTTCGTGTCCCGGTGACTGACCCTGTAGCTGCCACCGTTGAATGTCCCTACATCGTCCGCATAGGTTGACATGGCTCCTACAAAGTTTTTCGGAGCAATTCTACTCGCAAGAGTCGCATCTGTCTGCGCTCGTGTGAGACCTGGTCCTTGTAATGGTGCTTGTTGAGCTTCTGCGGAACTGAATATGGCCGAGTTGGCAGTAAACGACTGTCCGTTCTCAGCTACATAGTTCGCCTTCTCATTGATCGGTGGGGCCGATGGGCTTGTCGACGAGATTGGTGAAACATCGGCCTTTTCCTCGTTTGAAGATATAGGCTGTTGTGGAGGTGGAGGAAAACTAAGATTCGGGGGAGGAAAGCTTGGAGCGGCTTGGGGTGGTGGTTGATATGCTGAGGACTTGTTAGCTGGGAACTCAGGTAGAAGATCTAGTATTTGAAATAACATACCATTGCCATTCGGCGGAGCTATATAATGGGCAGATTAGCATTCAATGGCGATGGTGCGTAGTGCGGGGAACTTACGAGGGAAGGAAGGAGCTTGGCTTGGAGGAGGCGGATACACAACTTGCTCGGACATGATTGCTCAGAGTCAATCACTATTGTTGGCCGAGAAGATAGTTTGTTCTGAGACTAATGTGTGGGGTAAGATGTTGTATGGAGAGATATGGAAGTGCTTATGAGCTCTCAGGCACGGCTGATAGGGATACGGTACGCTCGCAAGTCGGAGCACTGGATAATGAAAGGAAGAAAAAACAAAACAGGAAGGAATTGGTCCCAAGTGGAAGCAGAGACATCTTGTTTAAATTGTCTGACATTATGCGACTCCAAGAAAATGAGGAGGTGAACCGGGATGAGCTGTGGCCGCCGACCAAGCAGAGCTACTGCATGGTGATCGACGAGGGCGCTTAGAGAACGCCTCTGATAGCCCTGATGTGTGACGCCCACCGATAGTCCACCCGTGCTAGCAAACATCATTGGTTGGCACTTTAGCGCTCGGGAGAACGCCAAACTCCAATCTCAGAGCCCAGATAGAATCATTCGTGTCTAGATGACACTGGGATTGTGGAGCGTGTTCGAAATGAGGGGAACCAGCAGACGAGGAGGGGACTGGTTGTTGATCCTCTCCATACCCAGCGTCCTCAATGCACGTGCTGTAGTATAGCAGTATCCCCTCTCACACTTCGGAGACAGGGCCAATAGTTATCATAATTTTGCGGTCATAGGAACTGATACAGCTCCCTTTATAAAGAGGTCCTTGTAGTATACACGTAAGCCGACTATGACCTTCCATCCGACGCTAGGGTCTAGTGTGCGCTTCCAGGAGTGCCACGATATCTAAGCGTTCGCTTTCTCTAGCCTCGTCAAAAGCGGTCATACCACTATTGTTCACTCGGTGGATGTTGGCTTTGTTATCGAGTAACAGACGAATGACTTCTTCGGATGCAAATGAGCGCACTGCTAGCATCAACGGCGTATAGCCACAAGCATCCGCAGAGTTGACATTTGCTCCATGTTCCAGGAGAAGCTCGACCATCTCTTCATTATTATCAATTGCAGCGTAGGTTAGAGGCGTTCTCCCATCTCCTGCGGGGCTCTCGATATCTCCGCCCTTTTCAATGAGCAATCGTGTGATAGCCAGTTGATTGTGTCGGACGGCAAGATGGAGAGCACTAAACCCTTGCAAGTCTTTGTGCTCAATGTTTGCCAAATACTGCAGAAGCACATGAACCATCGGTTCATCTCCGTGACTCGAAGATATACCCAGGGGTGTTATGCCATTGGACTTCATGCCCAGGTTTGCATTTGCACCGTTGGCGAGCAGTTTCTTTGCTGCCTCTAGTTCCTGATTGCCAACAGCCTCATGGAGCGCCGTATATCCCTCATACTCTTGGTTGTTGATGTCTGCTCCATGTCGTCGTAGTGCTTGTATCGCTGCATCCGAACCGCATCTTGCGGCGAAAACAAAGGCCTTTTGCGTCATTGCCCCATAAAGCTTGCCAACCTCAGCCCACCTGAATAATATCCAATGACCGAGGGCTTCCTGTGCGTTTTGTAAAGCCCATTCGAGGCAAAGCTGGTCCTCCTCACCAGGTACCTGCCTTTCAAACACAATATCCATGCCGTGCGTCAGCCAACCTAGAATTGTTTCCTCGGCGCATTTTCGCTTCTCTTGGTCATCGTCGCAGACTGCCACTTGTAAGTCCAAGAATGCATAATTCCCTAGAGGTTCCAATTGCATCTTTATAGAGTGTCTATCGGTCTTGTTATCGGCAATATGCCATACAATCCAACCAAGCTGTCGAGAGAATTTGATCCACCAGGCCTTCTGGCGCTGGGACTTCATCCAGTCTGTAGGCCGAGAACTTCTTATACCGCTTGAAAACCTCAATCTTGGATCATCTTGTAGCAGAGAAAGTATGATGTCGAGCGCCTCTCTTCGAACAGTGTCCTCGTTGTGTGTGATCGCACGCTGGCAGAGGTAGCCAAATTCATAAACGGAGCGTTCGAACTCCTCTCCATAAGAGCGTTCGCAGAGCCAGCGAGCAATAGAGAAAGCTTCCGCCCAATTATCGTTAGAGACGAGTCTTTCAATCTGCGCTCTCACGCGGTGCGAGTCTGCAGCAAGCTCTGGTAGAAGCTTCCGAGCTTTCAGAACCGGAACGATGCATAGCAGGGCGTCTTCTCTTGAGCCAAGCTCTCCGGACTCGAAACAGGCGACTAGCTCGTCGAGACGACTGCTGTATGAGATATAGCTGTTTTGTGAGCCTGGGCGCACATCCACATCGCCTCCAATCGTTTCAAAGTCTTGCAGACCGCTTCTGAGGAAATGGATGTAAATGTCCTGAGCAGCCATGGTCTCGAGATTGTTCTGCGTTTTCACAACGAGGATTTCCTTGCTTCCGGGGTTTTTGTCTGAGTAAAGCCCGAAGAGTTCACTACCAAATGACACGGTCTTTGACGAAACCATCCTGGCTTCCGTATGGCGGTAAATCCACTTATGAAAATAAAGGTCGGTTTCTTCTGCCATAGCCTCAGATTTGGTCAACCCAACCGCGCGATCAAGCCCAATCTGAAGCCATTTCGAATTCGACTTCAGCAGCGACCATGTCCACAGTCCTAGAATTGCCTCGAGCTCGGACTCATCAACCTTCCACAACAAGGTATCTTCTGATCTGTGGAGCTTGATGGTGTAGGTTTCCAGTGCAGGATTGAAAACGCCTTTGTTGAGAGACTGACAGGTGAGCATGAGATCGAAGCTAACAGTATCACCAGTGATATTCTTCCAGCCTGATAACAAGTTCATTGTTCTTTCTATCGTGTCCGCCAGTTTTTGAGCTCTCTCCCTGATTGGAAGGCCATCCCAAGCTAAGCTGGACTCTTTGTCGGGGTTGGACGTAAGGCGGGCTAGTTGAGCCCTTGTCGTTATAAGCTTCGTTCCAAGGCCGGGTGTCTGACTTGGAGTTTGTGTTGATGCAGCTGCTGACGAGGTTGTCGACTGAGCTCGAGATCTATGTGGCGCACTCGAGACTAAACCAAACGACCTGACTTGTTCAAGATGAAACACAAAGCAGTCAAGTTCTTGCTCGTTATAGGACACAAGATGGCGCTCTTCAGCCGTTAGGCGGTTCTCGTCCGATCCGGACCTCTTGGTCCGAAGGCAGGCTCTGACGATGGACATTAGGAGAGTAGCGCCCATTTCTGCTAAGACCACAGAGGCATGTAGCCCACGAATACCGACAAATTGGGTGACAAACCCAATAAGCGTAATAATCACAGTAAACACGAGAATTGGCCCTTTGCCGAAAATTCCAGGGCTTCTGACTGATTTTATATACACTAGGTCTTCAGTCGCCTTGGAATTAGGTCCCTCGCTAACGCCTAGAAAAGCTCCGAAGACCTGGTCACCAACATCCTGGCCGCCGGGCTGCAACCAGTAGATCTTGCTGGGCATTGCAGGTCGAATGTAGCATTCGGTGGATGAGCGCTCGATGATGAAAGCGCACAGGAACATTCCGATGCAAAGAAAGACAGACCCAAGGGAGAACAGCGGGAAAGCATAGCTTACGACAAGACTTCCGTCTTTTTTGAACTGTACCGGGAAGAGGTACGCAGTTATTGCAGCGTATACAATGACCCCTGACATAGTCTGTCAATATAGGCCAATGGCAATACCAAAGACATGTCACGTCAACTCACCAACTTGCAGACCTAGCCCCAAAACAGCAGCAGCATAGAACCAGCCTTGGCTGCTCTTCTCAATTCCCTTGTTCAAGGACAGATTCGGGATATCGAGCTCGGGCAAGTATTCCTTCTCATCGAGAATCCAACTTCCTTTGCCCGCCAACCAAGCACCCTCACGGAGGGCATCGCGGAGAGTTCCTATCCGGTAGGAGCGCTCCTTTGTCTGAGGATCTGTCTCCTCCCAGGCAATAACCTCTAGTAGTCGAGGTCTTCCGAATACCCTAGAGATTCCTCCATTATTAAACATCTCTGCGGTTGTCTCGGACACGCATGACAAGAGTTCATTTTCAGCTTCACCAGGGCCCTCTTGAGCCCGCCCTATGAAAGCGCGGAGAGACGAGTTTCCGCAAACACGAATGACGGAAACCACAGCTGTCAGAATACCCAATGGGGCCACAGAGAAGAGGAAATTATCTAAGATGCTGGTGGATTCAGATAAGAACTGCTTGCTCAGTCGCTCACCAAAAAGGGATATAAGAGGCGCCTAGAATTAGACTATCATTAAACTCGTCTTCCAAAAATGTGTGAGAAAGGCAACATACCAAGTCTGTAGCAAGGTCATCTGCAAAATCATCCCAGCCGGTGGCCAAAGCACCGGGAAGTAATGATAGTATAGTAATAAGCGACAGATGCCACACCATGGTGAGGCACGCGGTATGACAGAGAGTCTGACAGAAAAAATTGAGATTTTCTCCTAAAACATCGACGGAAAATAGGATATAGCTGAATCAAATACATCTGCTATATTTACCAACATCCCACCCTCCAGGATAGCTGCAGCTCAGCCTTGTCGCCTGTTCACAGCCCCGCGCGGACTCGATCGAAACACCAGCTCATCTTGCATTCGGCGGTTCAAGCTGTCTTTGAATCGCTGTCCAACAAATCACAGTTGGTAATTAAATATAACGCTATATAGCTAAACGCCCTTGTTATGCATAAGGATTGTAGGCCGTCTATGAGTGGACACATTGTTGTGGCGTACCATAATCGTCAGCGCTAACAAGAGTCGATCGTCGTTTCTCATGCCGGGGGTAGGGCAGGTTGACTCGCCTTTAGAGGCTTAGCCGTGTTAAGGCACAGTAAAAGTGAGCGAAGCTTAAGCGCCGACATTTTGAAGATTGTAACAATAATGGAACTGAATGCGGGAATGAGTCGAGGTCTAGAGTGAATCTTGAATGGCAAAGACTACGGGAGCGGTAAACCCGCAATCAAGGACAGATACATAATGAGCAACCTCTGTCCGTAGTTGGAAAGACACATCCCAGTTACTTCTATGACTAGAATAATTTCACCATTAACCCAAGTAGTCTGCGACGCGCTATCCCAACTAATCCGAACTCAATGGTTTTGCCGAATAATGATGAAATCAACCACCAACGCCTTTCCCATGAGCAAATGAGGGTGTGCGAAAGAAACATCAAAGGGCGCCTCTCCGGCCTGCACTTGAATAAGAACTAAAAAGCGAATAGAGTTCGACTAGCCACGCATCTAAAAGATGCTGTTGACAATGTTCGAACCGACGGTAGCACCGGCACCGAAGATAGCTAGGTGTGATTGTCAGTAAGAATGATTGTAAGAAAGGAGACGTCCGTGGCGCATCAATCCAATATGTCAAAGCGCGCGCGCATTGCTTGAAACGTACCGGCATTGCCCATCTTCTTGCCAAACTTCTTGCCCTGCTCCTCAAACTTGGACTTCTTGCCCTCTTCACCCGGAGGCGCCGAGCCACTCTGGCTGACTTCCAGCGGCATGTTTCCATAGTTTGTCGGGGGAGGAGACGAAACGGCCTTGTCATTCAGCACGTTCACGTAGCTCCGAGGGAAGATACCCTCAAGGTTGGTGCGCTCATTACGACCACGCCACCCTATAACCAGCGGTTAGCAAGGGAGATTGCACACAAAGGGTATCGGCAGCCCTACAGTCGGCATTCATGTGTTCTAAGACTTGAATACGATCGTTTGGCTGGAGAGCCAAGTCTCCGGGATCCGTCGGAGTGTAGGCATAGAGCGCCGAAGCGATAGACAGTACCGGTGGAGCTTGGGGATAAGCAGGTGGCGGAACAGGCGGGGTTGAGTACTGTTGCGGAGGAGGCTGTTGATAAGTGGCCTTCTCGTTCAAGGCAGTGTTTGCAAACTGGTTCGTAGGAGGAGAGTACGGGGCAGGGGGCTGCTGGGCGACGACAGGTGGTTGTTGCACTGGTGGCTGCTGCTGAGGCACGGGGGCTCTGCTGCGTTCATCGTCCCTCGGTAGTTGCGATAGAATGGATGAGAGCTGTTGCGGAGTAATGACTGATGCATCTGCGAGAAACTCGAGCTCCTAGTGGATCGAAGGATGTCAGCAAGGTGCATCATTGAAGATCAGCTCGAGCAACTCCGTTTACTGAGCGATGCTGACAGGGGAGGGCATCCTACCGATCGGACGTTGCGGAGCGACCGGTTGGTCATAGCCGAGAAGAAGTCGGACTGGGACGCCATGCTCATAAGGTGGATAGAAAGTAAAAGCACACAACAAGAAGGTATCAGGCTTTGCAGATATGCAGATCAAACGAAGACAGTGAAAGACAGGGTTGAAAGAATGAGACAGAGAGACGGCTGGGATGGAGGGAGTGGACGGAGGCAATCGATAATGAATGAATAATAATAATGTAACGGCATGGCAGGCCCGCCAGTTGGTTCTCCTTCTACGTACTTGCTAGTCAGTTGGTACCTGAGGCCCCCAGTTCCGGGGGTGGGTTGCCTGCCGCTAATTGGCTCCGAGAATTTAGTCGGTCTTGTCATTTCAGGCATCACCATATCACAGGCGCCCTTTTGAGACATTGGTCCCTGAACGGGTTTCGTTTGAAGAATCCACATTGTCTTATTTTCCAGAGTGTGATCGGAGCTTATACTAACACTGCATGTCTGGTGTATCTAACAGCAAGCAGAGAATTTGATCCTTACGAATCTTTTGCCACAGACATTCTCCGGCTATCCGGGACTATTACCTAGGAATGAACAAGACACCTGTCGCTAACTACAACACTTTGAAACCCTACTCCTAATAAGGGGTGGCTCATTTAAGTGGGACTCGAAATCTCTAGCTTATTCCTATTGACATATTGTCGTACTCGTTTGTGCATGATGTCAAGGAACCCGAACTGCATTGCTGATTCTCAGAAAGTCTCCTTACGAAACATACTATGCTCTACGAGACTGGAATGAATTGCCCAAATTATTCCGTTCTGAAATATAAGCGCATATACTCAAGTATCTACTGAATTTAGAGACCGTTCTTATGACGCCTGGGCGCCTTTGATAAACAAAGCAACTTGAACTCAACTAAATCGATGCTGGCAGCGCTGCAGCAAGCAACAGAATGACAAATAAAAACAAGCAAGGCGTAATGTCCTTCAAGCAGCCCGTTCCTCTCTTTTAATTGTCTCCAACGTATGAGCTGCGAAAGTATCCTGCAATCTTCGATGCCAGTTCGGGATCAAGGGCTTTGAGGCGTGAGTCTGGTCGGTAGAATCCTCGATAACGCATACAGCAACCACATTCAGCGGTACAGTGGCCATGGAATCCAATCATCTCCTTCTGATCACCCTCAGGCAAGAGATAGTGACGGAGAGGTCTCTCACAGCATCTACATCTGCGACCGCAACAGCCACCAAGCGAGGCGCACATGAGCTTGTCTTCCTCCCATGCCAAAGTTTGGCCCTCTTCATTTCTGTGTTGCTGAAGGAAGTCAAATTCATCGATGATAGGACCAGATGGCTTGTCAAGGGTCAACGCTTTCCATGCCTTCTGGCACCGGTAGTAATGCTCTTCTGCAAGGGAGACTTGACGTTTCGGATCCGAGGGCCCCGGGACATGCTGGAAGGGATTTTCTGGCTCAATACTATGTCTGTATCTTACCCTTTCCAGGCAGTTGATTCGCTGCAGGAGAGCGAACTCGAGTTCCTCGTTCTCCTTGTAGCGCTTGATCCAGTCTTTCTGGATGTTACACTTGCTGGGCCTGTGCTTCTCATATAATCTTGCCCTATCGTAGAGACGGCGTCTGAGATTGTAGCGTTCGTCTTTGACCACCCGGAGCCAGATAGGTCTGAGTATTTCTGACATTAGATCAAAGGGTCTGTGGATAGATTCTTTCAGTATCAGCGACGCGTGTGACTCGTAAGTCGGGGAGAGCTTGTGGGTTGCCATTTTGATGGCGTCCTCTGCTATTCGTTGCTCTTCGTTGATTGTGCTTCCAAAGTTAACTGTAGACTCGAGAATTTTTTCCTGCCAGACACTGTTGTTTACGTATACTGACGTAGTAGATACAGCGTCAGGATGAGAACATTTTGTGTGGTCGACCACAGAATCATGCTTCATTGGTATAATGGTTAGGGTAAATAAGGATAGGGATGTTCTATGTCCTCACAGACCATCTATATCGGCAAACGTCAATAGAACTGGACATATTGATGTGAACAAATGCTATCAATTAAGAGCACTGTACTGCCGTTGCAATTACCTCGCCTCACCTCAGACCTATACTCATTACTATACAAGACGCAACTCTACTTCCCGATATAGTAATCCGCCATGGAACCAGCACAAGAATCCCGGCCAAATAACATCGCCCCAAGCAAACATATTTCTAATCAGCACTAAGCACAAAGGTAACAACTCACTCCCCAATCAATAATCCCAGATAACCGACTCACTCTGACTCACCACAAACAAATTCCCAAGCAAAGAAAAGCAAAGGCTAGCCCAGAACCTCAGCCAACAATCGGGCAACGTACGGGGAAAGATTGGCCGATCCATGATGTCAGCAGCCCTAACCTAAACCAGACTAGCGCATACCGCCCCTCTGACTCCGCCATCCCAGGGCTCGAGAAGCTTCCGTGGCGTCGATATAAATTCAGCGGGCCTTGAACATCCCTCCTTACGACACACCTCACGCGATCGCACTCGACACTCACACACCGCCACCCTCACATCCTCCACCCACACCACACCCCTTAATCAACTCACCATCACCTCTAGAATCTCCATCTTATCACCAACTTCGCATCCATCTTCAAAATGAGCGACTGGGACTCTGTTACGCGCATTGGAGCCAGACACACTGGTGGCCCTGCCACCCGCGAGACCGTCGTCAAGGGTAAGAGCGCCTTGAACGCCGCCCAGCGCCAGGGTCTCGTTATCGGTACCGAGAAGAAGTATGCCACTGGTAACTCTGTAAGTATACCACTTAATTTACCCCTCGTTTGGGTTCAGGAAGCAATGAAAGAGGGGTAGCCAGGCTAACACAGAGATAACAGGCCGGACGCTCCGGTGCCCCCGAAGGCCAGCACCTGACCAAGGTCGACCGCAGCGACGACATCGTCAAGCCCAAGACCGTTGGCTACCAGGTGGCGGATGCGATCAAGAAGCGCCGAAACGAGGAAGGTTACAAGATGACTCAGAAGGAACTCGCCACTAAGTGCAACACCACCATCACTGTTGTCCAGGACTTCGAGCGCGGTACTGCTACTCCGGACCAGAAGGTCCTCAGTGCCATGGAGCGCGTGCTGAACGTCAAGCTGAGGGGTACGGGCATCGGACAGGAGAAGTTCCCTAAGAAGAAGTAAATTGATCGGGGGTGAGCCCGCGGCTTTTTCTTGGGGGAATGGAGAGTGAAAAATTGTTGATTGATTGAACGGTGCTTTTCTTCATCACCCTTTTTTTACTCTTTCGACGGCTTTTTCTTACGGTTTTTATTTGGTCATGCCCCGGGTTTACTTACGACCTTTTTTCTTTTTTCTTTTTCGAGAAACTTTTTCGGATGTTACGTTATGAATGAGATCCCATGATTCTTTACTTCTTTATCCCCCCAATCCACCGCTGTTTGTGGTTCTGCTGGTCGGAAGAGCGCTGGCCTGATATTCATTCTATGAGGGAAGTGTGATATGTGATCTTTGGGGAAGATGAAAAGAGAAAGAAAAGATCATACATATTGATAGAAATGTGCATTTTGCGGGTATTCGTGTCCCTAGAGAGTATCTTTTGAATACTCGAAAGATAGAACATTGAGTTGCACGTTGAGCACGGATCGATAGTCTTGCAATAGACAAAAACAAGTGGCGAAGATACTACAGAGTCGCCCGGAACTGATTTCCATAATCATCTATAATTATTCGACGAATGCCATCCAGTACTGACTCAGTTAGTATGTGACTAGCCTCAAATGAAGTGAGGAATGAAATAAACAATTGTATTAAACAAACCTACGCAAAACAGATCAGAATCCCTTACGCAATTCGGATCTTCACATTTCTATGTAAAAGTTATAAATCTTGCTAAAGCCAGCCAGTCGAATTTGAATTTCACCAACACGCTCTACTAAAGCTTGGATTGAACTCAGCTTCCCTCAGATTGAACTCTATCTATCTCACTTTCATCCTTTGACATGCGCTTTGCATTTGTCTTCGGTGCCATCGGCACCCTCATTTTGCTTCCTCTCAGCCACTGTCAGCCGCTTGGTCCTAGCTGCAGTCAACTACAAGAGGTTGACTCCAAGCTTGACAGCTTTTAACACGCTGCTGATCAGGTTCCCCCCAATGACGAAAACATCTTTCGCAATGAGAGACTAGATGGCATGCGCAACTCTATCGAATCCTCGAGCGATCTGATACACCAAAAGGAAGATGAGGAATGCGACAACTCTGACAAGTCCGACGATTTACTTGATTCTACTCTGGTATGTTGCATGATGCATCTTTTGATATGTATTCAGTCAACTGACATCCGTCCTCTAGAGCACTCTGTCGGTAAGTAGGAGGCACACTTGAAGTCCTTCGCTGGGTTGAGAAGCGTTCTGTATTAACCACTTCGACCCCATTTCAGGTATTGTAGGCTGTGAGTAAGCATATAAAACCCATTACTGTTTCGATTTTAGGCTGACTATGTGTTTTTTGTCAGGGCTAAAGCTGGAACTGGTAGACAAGCGACCGCCTAAGGTTTGCCTACTGCTCTTTCGGTATGTTATATGCTCTATCAAGATATATGAGCTGACATATCCTATAGATCTAGTGGTAGGTTTGTTTGAGGTTTTGGCTGAGACAAGCAGTACTACTTGTCGCGTTCATCTTCCAGGCCCTTTTGGGTATGTGTGAACCGAGTATTCAATGTGTACTAGGTTTGGCATTCACATTTTTGTGATACCTTATCTTGTTGTCGAGGTTCTACTTTGTATTCATGATAGGGCATCGCGATTACGTTTTCTGTTCAGTTATCCAGTGTCAGTCCTCCCTAAGGTGCTTCCTAAGTATCAACTGTTGCGTTCTCGCGATAGTTGGTGTCATTGTATCAGAGGCATGATAATGCTACACTGCCAGAAATCGAGGGTCTTAGCCGTGTTGTGATAGGCAGTTACAACGTTGGGGTATGATGGCTTTGACCTCAGCGACACGGGTGACATCGTGGGTACTAGTTGTTCGTCCAGATAAGGCTTTTCTGCACAACATGATATCAGAGTACAATACAGCCTTTTCCATATAGGATCATGGCGCATGTTGACCTTTAGGATTCGAAAATACACCGTACTTATCATATACTATGGCTACTATATATTATAGTAAGAAATACGGCTCAGGGCGGCTCTGTACATCTAGATTCACGAAAACCCGCCAGTAATACTACCGTGAACTTGAAAGAAGAAATGAAGCAATGTAGTTTCTTTTATTAGGACACAAGAAAGCGACCAGAAAAGCAAATGGTACCAACTCCGACTTTATCATGGTTAAGAAATGATAGAAAAAGAACTCATGCCCTGAATCGCCCCGAGGTCTCTTTCTCGTACCGCCGTGCTGCCTGTCCTTGCTACTTTTGGTTTCATTTGTAGTAAGTAAAGGAGAAAAATGATATCATCTTCGCCTCATGAACACATACACACACGATGCGTGTTTATAAAAACTGGTAGGTAGGTAAGATAGGGGGAGGAAAAACAAAAAACTCTTTGCAAAACTTTCGTCACACACTTCACTTCCTCAGCTGCTCGCGCTCAACCTCGTACATGAAGTCGAAGTAGGGCTTGTCGAAGTGGTGCACACGGACGTAACCGTCCTCACCACCAGAGGCGTAGGCAGTACCGGCGGGGTGGATGTGAACAGTGTTGAGGGGACCGAAGTGACCGCGGACACGGCCGATCTCGTCCTCGAAGACCTTGTGGTAGAAACGAGCCTCGAACTTACCCTGACGGGCAGAGGTCGTGGTGACATCCATGGCGGCCTGACCACCTCCCAGGATCACGTAGTCCTTCTTGGGCGTAATGGTGGCGCTGTTCAGGGGAGTGTCGGCAACGTAGGTTTTGAGGATGGCGAGGTTACGGGTAGACATGAGCTGGTTGGGGTTAGCATTTAGAGTCGTTTGATATGCAAAGTAGCAAGTTATGTACCTTGGCGGACTTGTCCTTGGAGGCAGTGATGAAGTAGGTGCGGTCGGGGGAGAACTGGATGTCGTTGATCTGGTGGTCGAACTCGTGGGCCTGGACGTTCTCCAGCTGCTCACCGGTCTGTCATCAAGTTAGCATCTATCCCCCTCAACGCATAGCAAAAAAGGTATTCTCCGCACCTTTCCATCGTACTGGCTGACACTGCCGTCTTCGTGACCAGCAATGATGTACTTGCCCATATAACTCCAGCCGGCAACCGTTGCCTTGCTCTCTGTGCAGGTGATGCGCAAGCTAGGCTCCTCAGCCTGCTCCGTCAAGTTCTCGCCGTAGTTGATGTCCAAAACCGCGATGGTACCCAAGAAACCCATACGCTTCTCCGTCACAGCCAAGAGTCTGCTTCCATCGGGAGTGAACTCGACCCGCTTGACGGCCGTAGGGAAGTCCCACACCTTGATGCACTCGCCGGTCTTCACGTTCCATAGTCGCACGGTGTTGTCTGCCGAACCGGTTGCCAGAATCTGAGTGTTCGGGCTCACATCGACCGTCCAGATAGCACCCTGGTGTCCGTTGTAGGTACCGAGTCGCTCGCCGTTGGCCGACCACCAGGCGCACACAATTTTATCCTTAGCCACGGAGAAGATAAGATCGCCATCGCGGTTGAACTTGATTTGGTTCAGGGACCGTTCCTATTAAGCAAAATATCCATCAGCCACTCGTCCATAATTCCTTTCATTTCCCAAATTTTATATCATTTTCCTAGCTCCTGGGGGGGCGACTATCATCGCGTTCGGGGGTGGGTATAGGCGAAACGCACATGGCCGGAGAGCAAAATAGGCCGCATTTTGGGCCGATCAAGCTGTGAATCTGGGTAAGGCGACGAAGGGGAAAAAGATGCTGAATCAGAGGTATGTATCCTCTGTAACCGGAGTCGACTAAGACCTGCGAGATGAGGCGGAAATCCTTGCGGGGTGCTGGCGGGCTCACGTTGTCGGCGTCGTCAGACTAGTTTGAATTTCATCGCACAGTCCGGGCTTGCCCGCCAAGACTTTCCTGTTCGAGCCTGTTCTGTATGAAACGCTTCATACCGGATACGTGGTTCTTCCGGTGCGATGATACACATCATGTGATTTGACCAAGCCCTGAAGATTTCCTACCAATTGGGTTCTGGAAGACGTGATGGGCTGACCGCCAACTATGCGCTATACCCAATGCAAACATATGGCGTTCCGAAAGTCCGAAACATCTGCAAAGTTGCGGCTCGCGGGAAACTTTGTCTTGTGAAAAACAGCAGAACAATGGTAAAAGGAGGAGGCATTGAGAGTCGCAGAAAGGACATTTTCACCCACTAGTACTATAGAATATAAACAGATCACAAAGATCAATTGGGAGCGCTGCAGACACTGAAGACATTCAGTGTTGCTTGGAAGCTAATGATTTCAATTATTCAACGATATTACTCGCGTTTGCGTTGATCGACCTTTTCCCTATCTCCATCTGACCCGGCCGAGGAAAGCTGGTTGGCACTGGGCCAACCGACGAAGCAAATTAGATGCCTTTCCCCCCCGCTCGTTCGGCGACACTACCCCGCTGTGCTGTCAACGCGAAGCATTCTTATACCCTTTCCCCCAGTCACCGTTTTTACCCACTACTTTCACCCTCTGTTCGACGCCAATTTTCCTCTGCACGCGGGGTTACGTCTCGTATCCGCTTTTCGCCGTTATCTGCCAGACCTGGCGTGCTAACTTGCGAGTGGCTTGGTTGCGCACCGTCTTGTCATCATCGTCCATTCTCCGGTACCAGGACAGCCATGACAGCCACCAACATTAATGGCACCCAGATTGCCAAGAACATCCGGGCAGGGTTGAAGGAGGAGATCCAGAAGATCCAGGAATCGAATCCCCGCTTCAAGCCTAATTTGGTGATCTACCAGGGTGCGTGGTCGTCACCAAGATTTGCCCCGCGTCGAGAATAAGCTGACAGTGCGAAATGAACAGTGGGAAGCAGATCGGACTCGAGTAAGTCGTAGGCCTCGGGTTGGAAGGAAGGTTGTATAGACTAATTCATGTTTCAGGCACCTATGTGCGCATGAAATTGAAGGCCGCAGAGGAGGTGCGTCACCACTCATGATCTGCATCCTTCGATCTGCTCAGTGCTGACTCGCTCCGAACAGGCCGGTATCATCTGCAAGATTATCAACTTCCCCGAAGACGTCACACAGGCCGAGGTCCTCCAGGAAATCACCAAGTCCAACAATGACACCTCAATTCACGGCATTCTCGTCCAGCTGCCCCTCCCCGAACACCTGTCCGAACACACCATCACCTCTGCTGTCGCCGATGAGAAGGATGTCGATGGATTCGGTGCGATCAACATTGGTGAGCTGGCCAAGAGGGGCGGTCGTCCTCTCTTCGTCCCCTGCACCCCGAAAGCTGTGATGAAGCTTTTGGCGGAGGCCGGCGTCGATCCCTCCGGAAAGCAAGCCGTGGTTCTTGGCCGCAGTGACATTGTCGGAAGCCCGGTCAGCTATCTGTTGAAGAATGCTCACGCCACCGTGACTCTCTGCCACTCGAAGACCCCCGATATTGCACGGATCGTCAAGACCGCCGATATCGTCGTTGCAGCAATTGGACAGACCGAATTTGTCAAGGGTGATTGGCTGAAGCCTGGTGCCGTCGTTATCGATGTTGGTATCAACTACAAGCCCGATGCGACCAAGAAGTCCGGTTCCCGACTTGTTGGTGATGTCGAATTCGAGTCTGCCGCCCAGGTTGCTTCGCAGATCACCCCGGTCCCCGGTGGTGTTGGTCCCATGACCGTGGCTATGTTGATGGAGAACGTTGTCTCCGCAGCTAAGGCGTACTTCGAAAAGCAAAGAGACAGACGCATCACTCCCCTCCCGATCAAGCTGGCCAGCCCCGTTCCCTCCGACATTGCTATCTCGCGTGCGCAATACCCTAAGCAGATTACGGACCTCGCCTCGGAAATTGGCATTGAGCCCCACGAGCTCGACCCCTACGGCCACACCAAGGCGAAGGTCAGTCTCGGTGTGCTCGACCGTCTGTCGCACCGTCGCAACGGTAGATACATTCTGGTCTGTGGTATCACCCCTACCCCTCTCGGTGAGGGCAAGTCCACAACTACGCTCGGTCTCTCGCAGGCTCTTGGTGCACACCTCGGCCGCATTGTGTTCGCCAATGTGCGCCAGCCTAGTCAGGGCCCTACGTTTGGCATCAAGGGTGGAGCTGCTGGTGGAGGATACAGTCAGGTTATTCCTATGGATGAATTCAACATGCACTTGACTGGCGATATCCATGCTATCACCGCCGCCAACAACCTTCTCGCTGCCGCCATTGAGACTCGCATGTTCCACGAATCCACTCAGAAGGATGCTGCTCTCTACAAGCGTCTCGTCCCCGCCAAGAAGGGCGAGCGCAAGTTCCAGCCCATCATGTTCCGCAGACTGAAGAAGCTGGGAATCACCAAGACCAACCCCGACGACCTTACCGAGGACGAGGTTCGCCGGTTTGCTCGCCTTGACATTGACCCCGAGACTATCACTTGGCGCCGCGTGCTGGATGTCAACGACCGTCACCTCCGCGGTATCACTGTGGGACAGGCTCCCACGGAGCGAGGCCACACTCGTGAGACTGGCTTCGATATCTCGGTTGCCAGTGAATGTATGGCTATCCTGGCCCTGAGCAACAGCCTGGAGGACATGCGTGAGCGTCTTGGACGCATGGTTGTTGCTACGTCGAAGAACGGTGACCCTGTCACCTGTGACGATATTGGTGCGGGCGGTGCGCTTGCTGCGTTGATGAAGGATGCCATCAAGCCCAACCTGATGCAGAGCTTGGAGGGTACGCCTGTCCTGGTCCACGCCGGTCCTTTTGCCAACATCAGTATCGGCGCAAGCTCGGTGATTGCCGACAAACTGGCTCTGAAGCTCGCGGGTACGGAGCCCGATGAGGATCACGAGTCCAAGACCGGTTTCGTGGTGACGGAAGCTGGCTTCGACTTCACCATGGGCGGTGAGCGGTTCTTCAACATCAAGTGCCGGTCTTCCGGCCTCTCTCCGGACACTGTGGTCATTGTGGCTACTGTGCGCGCCTTGAAGGTGCACGGTGGCGGTCCTGAGATCAGCCCCGGTGCTCCTCTGCCGGAAGTCTACCGCACGGAGAACATCGATATCCTGCGCAAGGGCTGTGTCAACATGAAGAAGCACATTGAGAATGCTCGGCAGTATGGTATCCCCGTGGTGGTTGCGATCAACCGCTTCGAGACGGACACGGAGGCCGAAATCGCCGTTATCCGCGAGGAGGCCATTGCGGCCGGCGCAGAGGACGCGGTCCCCGCCAACCACTGGGCTGAGGGCGGAGCCGGTGCGGTGGACCTGGCTCGGAGCGTGCTGGCAGCTAGCTCCAAGCCTAAGGAGTTCAAGCTCCTGTACGACCTGAACGGCAGCATCCAGGAGCGCATCGAGCGGATCGGCACCGCCATGTACGGCGCGGAGAAGGTTGAGTTCAGCGAACTGGCCCAGAAGAAGGTCGACACCTACACGGCGCAGGGCTTCAGCAACCTGCCCATCTGCATTGCCAAGACGCAATACTCGCTCAGTCACGACGCGGCACTCAAGGGCGCCCCCACTGGCTTCACTGTGCCCATCCGGGACGTTCGGCTAGCAGTGGGTGGTGGATATCTGTAGGCATCCCGTCTCATTCTGTGCTTAATATGGATCCATTGAGCTAACCCATTGTGATTACAGGTACGCACTGGCTGCGGACATCCAGACCATCCCCGGATTGCCGACGGCGCCTGGATACCTGAATGTGGATATTGACCCTGAGACCGGAGAGATTGACGGTCTGTTCTAGACGGTAGAATCAACGTCATTAGTGTTTAGAGTTGGGACTGGTTTTATTTTCATAATGTCATCGATTATTACTGTTTGATCTAGCAAGATTTTTGGCCATGATAAAAACGGGCAAGGGAAGGGTTATTTCAACATATTACGGCAGGACTATACAAGGCCGGTGTTTCGGGTCACTGAAGGAGGGTCAACTTCAACAGGATTGCAGTGTCTCTTTCTGCGATATACATAGTACAAAGACTATTACATAGTTAGATGGTATCCAATGTAGAAAATCTACAGTGGAGATTATCTTGATTATCTCGATATTGACTACTACTCTGTACTGAGTATAATTGAGTATGGTGCTGGCCTGGCGTGGGGAATCATGGATGAGTCATCGATAGTTCTCCGGGGAGGAAAGTGGCAAGTCCGACCGGCAGCGACTTCGGTGGTTGATGACCCGGCGGAGCACACTGACTGTATCCGTTGCCGCGGGAAACAGCGGTTGCGATCGGCTGGACTGGTCGGAGAATTCTACTTTAAGCCTTTAACGTTGCAGACACAGGGATGCGAATGGGATGGCTCAAAAGCAAATTACGCGGGATGTTGTCAGGTGCATTTGGGGTGTGACCATTTAAAGTTGCGAGTTACGGCGTATACTGAGGGAGGTTATAGTTATAGTTTGTTACGTGCACCGCGGAGGACTTCATCTTATCTTGATGGAGATCAATAGCGGCGGACATTAAGCAGGGAGGGAGGAATGGAGAGTCTGGAGTACTCCGTAAGGGCGGGAACGGAATAGCGCAGAATTGGGTGAGGAAGAGGGTCTGATGCCACCACGGACTGCAGTTTGACCGAACCCATTAGTTTAGTAGCAAGTAGCAGCAAAAGTAGTGCCAATTCCCAGGGAAGGGAACTTTTCCCCCTCCAGTCTGAGAGTCGAATAGTCCGGCTTCGGCGACCAGAAAAGTCGCAACGGTGGGCGGAAAGGGAAGTGGGTGTGTGTCAATTCCAAGCCTTGGGAGGGAACATCCACGCCGGATAAGAGGTGTTGGGGCGCCCTCCATTTGCCTCTTTTCCTCTCTTCACCCTCTCTCTCTCTCTCTCTCTCTCTCTCTCTCTCCTCTCCGTTCTTCCCTCATTCCTCCCCAGGTTCTTGCTTATTGCAGGAAGATTATTTCCCAGAGTGAACAGAAACGATTTTCCGGGTTCTCCGATCTGCCCCGTGAAGGTCCCTTACAGCAACAGCATCTCGTCCAGTCCGGCTTAACGGCAGCTTCCGAACTCCACCACCGCCTCCTTCCAGCCGAGAGCTTCACGGCTTCTTGCTTGTCTTTCCCTCGGGTATACTCTCTCTCGCTCTCTCTCCCTCCCTCCTATTCTCGTTGCCCCCAAGTTTAGATCCTCCTCCTCGTTTCCCCGTACCCGATAGACTGATCCGCTTGGGCAGACTTTCCCCGGTTCCTCCCACACAGCAGGCCCAGTTACTGTCGAGTCTTTGGCAATTCATCCCACACCATGTCGTCTGTCCGGTTCAGTTCCGCATTGGCGCGCCGCTCCTTCGCCGTCGCTTCCCCCCCTCTCTCTGCCCCTCTCTCTTCCTCCGCTCGTCGCTTTCTCTCTTCTTCCTCTTCTACTATTTCTTCTTCTTCCTCCTCTGTCTCTACTCGCTCTCCCAGATCTCTTACTTCTGCCTCTTCCCTTCTCTCCTCTCGTACTGCTTCTGCCCGCTGGACCGGTCTATCCTCGTTGAACCTTACTCAATCCCGCACCATGGCTACCGAAATCCCCAAGATCAAGGTCAAGAACCCCGTCGTTGAGCTCGACGGTGATGAGGTATGTCTGATTTGACTTTTACGTTTTGGCTTCCCTCCCCTCCTTTATATATGTATAATTCTGCATCTCGGCCCTGCCCCTCGTCGGGATGCGCATTTTCGTCATGGCGCATTCCAGACGCGGGGAATAACGGCGGCTGCCGCCTGGCCCCTGGCAGCCAAGCGTCAATCGTTCGGCGATCCAGGGCTCAATTGCAGGACAGCGAAAAGGTTTGACATGTGCTAACGTTGCCCTTTACTAGATGACCCGTATCATCTGGCAGGAGATCAGAGAAAAGGTATGTAGTTGGCCCTCGGCTGCCCCGCCATGCATCAGCTCCAGATGCATTCCTCCCGTTCTCTCCCGCATCTTCACACGCTAACTCGGCCCCGCTTCTATAGTTGATTCTGCCGTAAGTCGACTTCTTCCGATTATTGACCATCCAGTCAGTCGACTAAGACATTACGCCTAGTTACCTTGACGTCGACCTCAAGTACTATGACCTGGTAGGCTTCTGTGACAAGAATTGGTGTTCTGGGTGGAGACTGACCGGCATTGCAGGGTCTCGAATACCGTGACCAGACCGATGACCAGGTCACCGTTGAGGCTGCCGAGGCTATCAAGAAGTATGGTGTCGGTGTCAAGTGCGCCACCATCACTCCCGATGAGGCTCGTGTTGAGGAGTTCAAGCTGAAGAAGAGTACGCATACCGAAGCATGTGAATGGAGTCATACTAACCCTTGCTTCAGTGTGGCTGTCCCCCAACGGCACCATCCGTAACATCCTGTTCGTTACCTTGCTGCAATCCCTGCTGTTAAGCTTAATTGCTAATTTTTCTGCAGCGGCGGTACCGTCTTCCGTGAACCCATCATCATCCCCGCCATTCCCCGTCTCGTCCCCGGCTGGAACAAGCCCATCATCATCGGTCGTCACGCTTTCGGTGACCAGTACCGTGCCACCGACCGTGTCATCCCCGGCCCCGGTAAGCTCGAGCTTGTCTACACCCCTGTCAATGGCGAGCCCGAGACCGTCAAGGTCTACGACTTCCAGGGTGGTGGTATTGCCCAGACTCAGTACAACACCGATGAGTCGATCCGTGGCTTTGCCCACGCCAGTTTCCAGATGGCCCTGCTCAAGGGTCTACCTCTGTACATGAGCACCAAGAACACCATCCTGAAGCGCTACGATGGTCGCTTCAAGGATATCTTCCAGGAGATCTACGAGTCCACCTACCAGAAGGACTTTGAGGCCAAGAACCTCTGGTACGAGCACCGTCTCATTGACGACATGGTTGCCCAGATGATCAAGAGTGAGGGTGGATTCGTCATGGCCTTGAAGAGTAAGCCTACCCCTGAAATTGTGTGAGGGCTATGCTAATCCAAAACGTATAGACTACGACGGTGATGTCCAGTCCGACATTGTCGCCCAGGGTTTCGGCTCTCTTGGTCTGATGACCTCGACCCTGGTCACCCCTACTGGCGAGGCTTTCGAGTCTGAGGCTGCCCACGGTACCGTGACCCGTCACTACCGCGAGCACCAGAAGGGCCGCGAGACCTCCACCAACCCCATTGCCTCCATCTTCGCCTGGACCCGCGGTCTGATCCAGCGTGGCAAGCTCGACGAGACTCCTGATGTCGTTACCTTTGCTGAGGAGCTTGAGCGCGCTTGCATTGAGGTTGTCAACGATGAGGGCATCATGACCAAGGATCTGGCTCTGGCCTGCGGCCGCAAGGAGCGTGAGGCCTGGGTTACTACCCGCGAGTACATGGCTGCCGTCGAGCGCAGACTCAAGGCCAACCTCAAGTCCCGCCTTTAAATACCCGATTGTTTTGCATTGATACACTAACGCTAGCGTGACTCGATGAGTCGATATTCTTAGAATTACGGGTTGCATTATGTAGATTTTACAAAAGGTGGAGACAGTTGTTGAAACCACATGTATAGTGCAACTGATGTTTGTTCCATGTCTCATGAACTTGTACATGCTTGATAATGAAAATAGATGCAGTCTTCTGATAAATTATGCACTTTTCTCGAACATTTCCTAACCGAACCCACTGATGTAAGAGGACAGATGAATCTGGGCGCCAACGGACCGAACCGTGGATCCTCACAAAATGTGGTGGCACACCCAGCCAAGTCCAGCAACATCCGCGGGGATTTGACTTTATCAGTATCCCTGACGCAATAGATCTGGATCCGGCCTTGCAACCTCGGGCTTAGCATTGCCACGTCTGCTTCAGCAGCAGATTCTTTTTTTTTTCCCCATTCAAAAAAGATGATATCGTAGACCTCAATCGAAAGATGCCGCTCCCTTCCTCCGAAGGAAGTAGACGTCGTCAGTTCATCCCAGCAGGATGTATGCCCTGCCCGTGGGAATCGTTTTCCTTTGCCTGGCGACGATCACGGTCGCGCTGCGACTGTATACGAGGCTGAGGTTGGTGAGGAAGCCGGGATGGGATGATTTGTTGATTGTGGTGTCGTTGGTGAGATACCAGATACCCTTTAGGATGGTTTGGTTGGTTGAGTAATGCTGATGTGGTGTATGTGTGGTGGATAGGCGACTGATATAGTGTTCTTTGCGTTTTTGGTTATAGGTATATCCCCCCATGTAATATGGAATATACCTGAGATGAATGAGTGACAGTACTAATAAGAATGTATGAAATAGAAAGCCAAAACGGCCTCGCCGAAAACGAAGCAGATCTTCCGCCGGAGGTAGTGAGGAGACAACTCAAGGTATACCCACACCCACTCACATACATACCCTAATTCCATACAACAAATGATACTAATATATGGAATAGGCCCTCTGGATAACAATCCCCCTCTACAACCTCACCCTAACCCTCACCAAGTTATCCCTAATATTCCTCTACCGCCGCCTCTTCCCAACACACACCTACCGCATCCTCCTCATCCTGACCCTCATCTTCGTCATCATCACCGGCCTCTGGATGGTCCTCAGCACCCTCCTCTTCTGCATCCCCATCAACGCCTTCTGGGATACCTCCCTGCCTCATACATGTCTCCCCGAGGATGTGGTCTGGTGTCTCAACGCCGCGTTCCAAATCACTACGGATTTGATCCTCGTGGTTTTGCCCTTGCCCATCCTGGCGAGGTTGAATCTGCCGAAGAGGCAGAAGGCTGCCCTGTTGGTTATTTTCGCGTTGGGGTTTTTGTATATCTCCCTACCTTATACCTCCCTCCCCTTATACCTTTAGTGTTGTTATGGATGGGAAAGCTAATGATGGAAATGATGGTACAGTGTCTGCGCAACAAGCATCATCCGCCTAACAACCATCGTCCGCCTCCTCCGAGATCCAGACTTTACCTGTACCCATACCCATCCCTTACCCTACCCTTACCCCATATATCACCCCCATACTGAGAAAGAAACCTATAGCAGGAAACGGCCTCGCAGCAACCTGGTCCTTCATCGAATCCGCCGTCGCCATAACCTGCGCATGCCTGCCCCCTCTCCGACCCTTACTCGTGCGGGTATTCCCGAGACTGATTCCTTCTCGGATGAGGTCTTATCATAATAGGGATAAGGAGTCGAGGTCGAACAGCAATAACAACAATAACAATGGTAATAATAAAGCTGAGGAGGCGGGAGTTCAATTTCCTTCACGACCACCTACGATATCTAAGTCTAGGACGAGGAAGTCTATATCAAGGAGAGGAACGAGAAATGAGGATCTAGACTTCTTGTCTGTGTATGGGGGCGGTGCGGCGGGGTTGTTTGCGCCGGGGAGTACGGTTTCGACGAGTGTTTGGGGGGATGCGGGGAGTGTTAGGTCTGCGGGAGTTGATGGGGATGGGGATGGAGGGAAGGATGGGGAAGGGGGTGGGGAGAGGGATAGTGGGGGAGAGGGGATTCAGATCATGAGGGAGGTGAGGTGGGATTCTGTTTCTGTGTCGGAGTCGGTGGATGGGAGTCATGGGGGAAGTCATGGTTGGGGAGATGTGGAGGGGAGGTTGTCGGAGGGGACGAGTGGGAGGAGGTCGAGTGGTGCGCCGTTTTTGCATCCGCAGTGGGTGGGGGGGAATATTGCTGAGTGGTAGTGTAGTATTGTATAAAGTAGGGTTTAGAGATTGGTATTTGGTGTATACACTGGATATGTGGTGTCTGTCTCGGGCTAAGAGAATAGTAGTATCCGGGAATCATTAATGAATCAGTCTATCTACTAGTATTGATCAAGCATACTGAAGCATACTACATAATCCACACCTTTCTTAAGGGCCAAATTCAACCTTTACCCAATCTGTTGGAGTTCTCACCGAACCATCATGAAACTTCACTCTGATCCGCCATTCTGAGCATTCTATGCCTCGGCATCTGTCTCGGCGTCCTCTGTGTCAGCGTCCACTGTCTCAGCGTCCACAGCCTCAGCGTCCTCCCTCTGAGTAACAGTTTGTTCCTGTCTAGTCAGCTACTGTAGAAAGAGGGGATCGAGTATGGCGGGCTAATAACAATGCAAGACTGCAAGACACTCACCACGTCTGTTTCAACAAGGATTCCTGACAGCCCTGCAACAACAGAATCAATACGATCAATCCCCATTTCTGGGGCAGACACGTCGTCTTCAAACAACTGACCCCGGCGATTCAGTCTATCTCGATGTCGCGCACGCCCCCTCCCAAAGGAGCTGTTTCCACTGTCTCCCGAAGTCGCAGTTTCACTTCCTCCATTCGTCTGAGGTTGAGTATGTTCAACAGATGCAGATGCAGAAGCTGCATGGCCTGGCGTATCTACAGGAGTGACTCCGTTTACATGATTCCGGGGAGGTGCTTCTCCTTCCTGTTCTGCCTCAGCTGGAGTGTCTGTCCCAGTAATTGGTACGGCGTGAATGGAAGATGACTCAGTGATTGCGGTTTCCGATGCGGACCGATCTCTGGCTTCCGCTCTTATAGAGTCCCGAATATCCCAGCGCGTCCGACGAGTCCCGTTCTCCTGTAATGCCTGGAATGCCTGAAATGCCTGAAATGCCTGGGCCGCCTGGGCCGCCTGTGCTGCCTGAGACGCTTGGCTTGCCCGATGTCCTTGGTCTGAATGAGACATAGTCACTAGAGGAATTCCCTCTTCCTCTGGCAGAGAAGGGTTCGAATGATCCGGAGACTCTGGAGGCGAATTCAGAGGCGGATTTGCAGGAGGATTAGGGGAATCCTCAGGATTATTGACAAGAGGATTTTCAGGAGTATTCGGAGGTGGAGGATGCCCAGGGAGATCTGCAGGCGGAGGAGTATTCTGATGAGACGGGGGATGTTGTTCCTCATGTTCAGACTGATCTTCATGCTCAGATTGTTCCTCATGTTCAGACTGATCACCATGTTCAGACTGACCCTCATGTTGAGACTGATCCTCATGCTCAGAGTGTTCCTCATGTTCCTCATGTTCCTCATGTTCCTCATGTTCCTCATGTTCAGAGTGTTCCTCATGTTCAGAGTGTTCCTCATGTTCAGAGTGTTCAGAGTGTTCCTCATGTTCAGAGTGTTCAGAGTGTTCAGAGTGTTCAGAGTGTTCAGAGTGTTCAGAGTGTTCAGAGTGTTCAGAGTGTTCAGACTGCTGATCCTGGCCGTTCTGAGTACACCGAAGACATGGGCACAAGAGCTCACACAGTCTTTTTCGAGGAGAGAAGCACAGTCCAACAAATGGACTAACATTCAAGTTTGCCCCAAACGGCGGCTGCTCAAGCTTGAAGGATGGATCCAACAAGATAGAATTCGCAGGCAATTGAGCAGTAAGCCCCTTGGGAAGATCGGAGGCACGAGAAGAGGCATTGCTATCACTCCGCTCAGACACACTGCGATGGTAGCTGTCGACGTTTTTGTAGCAATGATGGCAAATCACGTCATATTCACCTATTCGGGCGAAACAGTTGAAGCTAGCGGGAAGCATAGTCTCGTAGAGCGAGCTATCGCCCCAGTCGAAATCGCCGACTTGGATCCAGGAAGGTAGCTCGTCAAGGGGAATCAGAGGAACTACCATGTAACCTGGTCGGTAGACATAGAAGTTGGGGAACGGTTGGAATTTGTTGATAGGGTGGGACATGCGTGGTATAAATGTAGTGATATGCAGATCTTGGTTATCAAACGAGTGGATGGTGTATCAATAATAGATACTTAGTGTGAGAAGAGTACAGTAGTGGGGTTGTTTTGATTGAATATTGTATATGCTTAGTTTGGGTGTGCTTTCCGGAAGCTGATGTGTTGGGTGTGGCTTCCTTATTATTTTCACATTACTTCGATCAAGTCGATAGCGGGCTGTAGGTCCCGTTCTTACAGGTAAACCCAAGATCAGGATTAAGGGCTGCCGTTGCGTTCATGCAGATCACACTCGCCGGTTCCAGAACTTGCGGGTATAGTTGAATGTTGTCCGCCACAAAGTTCTTACAAGACTGCCCTGTATGACACTCGATAATGAGGGCCTCCGTGTGCTTCAGATTTGGCAGCCCAACGTTGTACCAGCAAGGGTCGGAGACGCAAGAGCCGTCGCCAGGCTGGTACGTATTAATCGAGCCAGAAAAGTCAGACCAGGTGAAATCCTCCATCATCACAGCTGAACTGGCATTGACAGTCCCGGACCGGGAGGCGCCTTGGTCGCTATAGCTTTGAGTGACAAAGATAGGGAACGTCACGTTGAAGACTCTAATGTTATTCCAAGTCACATTCTTGACGAGTCCGGTACCTCCGCTCCATGACTTGAAGCGTGCGGCGTAGAGGCCATCGACGACAGTCACATCGTCAAAGCGGATGTTGCTGATATTGGCAAAGTCTGTGGGGTCCTTTCCCAGCGAGCCAATGCTCATGCCATGAGTCTGGTAGCCAATGGTGTTTCTTGTGAATAGTATGTTGTGCGAGTCCGCGCCTACTGCAATCGCGTCATCGCCGTTGTACATGATACTGTCGGTAATCTGGATATTGGTACCCTCCACATCGAAGCCATCTGTGTTGAAAGGGAAGCTACCTGTCGAGGTAGCATCGATAATGGCATGGCTAACTGTGATGTCTTGTCCATGCAGCTTGACATTCCAGGCGATAGGCTTCCTGGACCTGAAGTATTTTATGGTCGCTTGGCTGGTCTTGAAGCTCATGAGATGCGGACGATTATCAATGCCCGAACTACCTGCAGGGTTCGCATCCCACCAGGGCTGCCCATACGAGTCGATCCAGCCATTATTCACGTCTTCGGGACCAGTCCAGTCCACCTTGGGCCCTTCCAAGGTGAACCATGTAGAGCTACCATCACTGACGATATTCTGCACTGCAGTTATATTCTGTGGCAGATGCAGATTGCCGTGCATCCGGATCTCCACATTGCTGAGGTTGGTGGCCGTGATCGGCTGGAAGACATTATAATTTACACCCTCCTCGAAGATGATAACCGAGTCAGTTGCGCATTCTGCAAAAGCCTGGGAGACGGCAGACGAGTCATCAGCCGTTCCATTTGATGCCTGATATTTAGACGGAACCACGCATTGTTGGCTTCGAGATGCTCTGCTGGAGTGTGGAACCCCGTGGACGAGTGACGAAGAAAGAAGGAATAGGAGTGATGCCTTGAAAACAGACATGATGATGCGTGAGTAGACAATAACCCACTAATTAGCCAGTAGCATTCGCATACTCACCCTTACTTATATCCCAAGTTGGTGTATCGTCTCGAGGTTCGGGTCCTCAACTGCCATGCCATTAGACATGACAAGCGTTCGGAAATTTGCATGTTTCTCAGGTCCATTAACCGGGAAATTTCCTGAAGAGGCCGCAAATAGAGTATGCGCGGGACCTGATCGGCGTATAGATCAACCAAGACAGCAGCGCATTAGGCTGGCATTGGTGGAGAAATTGTGACAGTTAGCCAAGTGTGGAGAGCTGCCCAGAGACGGCCAAGGTAGCTAGCTTCCTGCTTCCCCGGACGTTCATGATGAGAGAAGTGTACGTGAAGAGCATCTTATAAAATAGATAAAATAGACAAAGAAGTAGATTGACTGCTAATGTCAAACAAAGTGAGAGCTGGTATGCTGCAGGGATGCGATGGCGCCGTGCAAGTGTTTATCCGGGGTCACATGGGGGTGGAGCCGGGAATCCAGAGCGAAACTTCTCCTGTCAGTGTCATAGCTTCTTGCTAGACAGTTAGCGAGCTATTTCTCTATTATCGCGTGTGACATAATAGTCCATCTTACATCTACTTCACATCTACATTCCTACAAATTAGCTCTCTTCAAAATGACTGCCCCCACGCCCAAGTCGGCGCTCGCAACAATGCCGACGCCCAATATCCCTGCATCCGAAGCTGTCGGCCACTGCCAGAGCGTCGCAATAATCGATGCTCCACTGCAAGAAGTCTGGGATACTCTCATGGACACCTCTACCTTTCCCTCATGGAACAGGTTCGTCCCTGCCGTGACTATCCGAGAGCAGCCCGGATGCGAAGGGGGCGATCTCTCCCCCGTTCTCCAGGCTGGGACGAAGATGACTTATCACGTGAACATGAAGCCGACCAGCTCGTCCCAGCCACAGCGTGCACAGGCGAGCAATGATACTCCATTGGTCGTGACAGAGTATGATCCACCCAGCGAGAGCAAGAAATCCGGTCGCATTGTTTGGGTTCTTGATAAGCAGGCGCAAGGTCGCATCATGTCCTCACTGTTGGCGGCGGAACGGGTCCATGAGTTCGTGGAAGTTGATATTCAGGATGAACAGGGTCAGATGAGAAAGGGAACGGAAGTGCGTAACTGGGAAGCGCAGAATGGAGCCCTGGCGTATGTGGTTCGCTGGATGGTGGGGGCTCAGCTGGAAGTAAATTTCGAGGTGTGGTTGCAGGATCTCAAGGAGTATGTTGAGAAGGAGAGGAAGGCGCGGGAATAAGATGAGCTAGCTAGTCTAGGGTCTGCCCCTTTACTTTGTACATAGTAATAATACGAGTTTAAATGGATGGCTCCTTGCTGAGAGAGTGGTTTGGTAGGGATTGCTGCATGCTGGGTAAATTGGATGATATCCTTGGATACGTATCTAAACTCTCGACTCTCTGTTTCGTAGTGTTTTTTTTTTCGAACTCTCAAGGTCCCTGCTGGATGTGATCAAATACTATACAGTACGGGATTCCGAGACAGCCTTACAGCCACAACTAGCGTCGGCCCCGTGCGCGCTTGGCACGGCGATGTGTGCTTTTCCAGAGCCATCCACCGGTTCCGTTCCAGGTCATTGCGTCGGGAACCGTTCCTTTGATCCCGTATGGTGAAGTGAGATATCAGATTGCCAGGCTTTGTCCCCGACTTGCAGTAGAGGGTGGAGCTGGGAGAAGTGCCAGTGTCAGCACTTCGGAAAGGAGGGAATTTTAGGAGTCGCGGAAGACCAGAGGATGACTCCACGCTACTAGGATGGCCCTAGTTGAGTAGTTATATGCGAGGCTTACGATGGCCAGTGGGAGGAGGGTCATGCACCTGATGTGACAGTAACTGAAACTACTACTATTTGAGAAAGACTAAGTTTGGTAGGAGGTCGGATGCAAAGTGGAGATTGGAAGAGCGTCTCAATGGCAGGCAATTTCCCTGGCAGACCGTGACCCACGTGGGGGTGGAGATTGGCTGAGGCCCCGTCCGAGGGTTACGTCCTCGGCTGTCTCTTGATTCTTGAACAGGCCTTTTTTGGGTTCGTCCTCGTCTTTCCCCCCTTTCAAGCAGCCACCGTCGAAGGTTCGAATTTTCGTTCATCCTTCCTGATCTGGAGTATGCGATGGGACCCTCGCCAGATTGAAACGGGGCCGCTATACTACCGTTTGATACATCCACGCAGAAAGAAGAGGGCTCCTGCAGGACTACCGCAGGGTGGATGAGCCATGGTCTGCATGTACCCATGTACTACTTCCTTTCTTTTTCCTTCAGTCGGGATGTTACGATAAGATCGACTAGTCTCGGGCTGGCTGAGAGACCACGACCGAAATGTATCTACTGTATATTGCCTGCAGTTTCCAGCAGACGCCACGACGCGCGTGAAGTAGTGGAATTTGAAAACCTCGAGATGGTCATCCCTGCAGCATAGTGTGTCACACTTTTCACGGTCTTCGTCATCCTTTTTTTTAGGGGGTGGAGACACCACAAAACAAGGATGGGATTATGGTTATTCATTCACCCTTTGCGACGGCCATCCAGGGCGAAAATGCGAGGGTGACAGCCGTTTGTGCCCGAATGACTGGGTGAGAAGGAGACTAAGTCGACTAACAAGTAGAAAACTGCACGAAATTCGAGGGTTGAGGGGCCAGCTAGACCCACCGGCTTGCCGTATTAGGACAACCGGACAACTAACGACGGGAGACTAGTGCCCAATCGGGGATAGTGTCCGTGCAAATGGAGGAGAAACGCGCGAGTCGCAATTCCATTCAGTCTCGCTTTTTCCTCTTTTCTTGCAGTCGCATTCATGGCTCTCTCTTACTTCTCCCGGTTGCCGCTGCGGCTTTCTTGCTCATCAAACCTTACCCCGGCTTGCTTTCCCCGTTTGACCTCCCAATTTCAGACATGCTGCTTCGAAATAGAGATAGAAAATGCACACCCGAAAAGGACCGATGCTGCTCCGAGCATGTCAGTGGGACTACGACGATGGTCTCCCCGCCAGGCCAGACTCGCCCCGGTGGGTGGAACTGAACTGTCTATTTGGCATGTCACGGTTACTTGCGACGGTTTGCTGTAATCACCCATGGTTCCTCGGGCACAATTAAGCTATCGCTCTTTCTGTCGATCTATCCAGTTACTCCCTCTGTGAAAATAAATTAAATTTGTATTTTCCAAATCCATCGGGTCGAGACTCGTCGCCTCCTCAAAATTTTCTTCTCCCTGCTTGGTGTTGATTTCTACTTTCACTCTGATTTTATCCTTCTGTTCTGCTATTCTAGATCATGTATATGTTGCAGTCCTCATCAGTCCGCTGTCTCTTGTCCTATTCATCTTCCTGCACCTTAACCCATCAATAGTCAGTCTTAAGCGCCAGACGGACTTGAATCCCGGTGCCGACGTCATCCAACCGGCTTGCCACCAATTGCCTCGTCATTGGCTATATGCCCGCTGCTATTGCTTCTTTAAATCTTATTCAAGGTCCTCGGAAATCCAGCGACACCGGCAGACACTCTAGTGATTCATCTCGTATTCGCGCCAGTCCAGTATAGATACGCGGTGTTTTCTTATCGCGCCTCTTGACCGGAGATCCCTGGTCCTATCGGCGCTGAAACCAAACCGTCGCACCGATTTCAACTGTCGCCTTCCCCGCTATCCCCGCCTCTTGCGATCTTCACAGAGGCATCTGCTTCTCCAGAGTTGTTCATTATGACTCCTACGCATTTGCCGTTCCCGCTCTCTGTTCGCACTCAACATGATACGGATACTCGCGCGCCGCCTCTCCTAGTAGTGCCCGGACTGACTCCTCCGGTGACGCCTACTGTAGATGACGAGAGCCTTTCAGGCAGCGTTGCCACCCTCCATTCGGGGGCTTCCAGTCCATTCTTGTCGCCTGTCGAGGGAAAATTCAAAGATGTCGATGCGGAAGATCGCACGGTGTCCACCTCTGACTCTTTCACAGATGAGTTGGAATACGACAAGGACCCCAAAGGCCGGCCTGTCGAGTATGGCCGCGGTCTCTGGAGCGTTGTCTACAAAGCAACTCCTTGCGAGCCCTCCAAGCCCTACCTGCTTACGCCTCCCAGCTCTCCAGCTGTCAAAGCCCGCACGGTAGCAGTCAAGTCACCCGCAAGGCGAGATGCGCACTCCATTTTGGATGCCGAAGCGCTCGCCTTGACTCGGGTCAGCCGTGTCGCTGGGTCACAGAACCATGTTGTTCCCTTCAAAGGATATATCGCAGACTCTCACTCCATCGTCATGTCAGCAGTGCCGTTGGCACTCTCGACCTATATCGAAGGAAAAGCCGCTGTGGCTTTGCAGAACAAGACCACCAAAACCATGTTCGAGCCCATTCAGGGCATGACCCAGTGGTATGACCTCGCAAAGAAGCTCATCACCGGTCTGTGCTGGCTCCATGACGGGCCGCAGATGGTACACGGTGATATCAAGCCTCACAACATCTTGCTCCGTGCACGCTCAAACGACGATGATTTGGAATCCGACCACTTCCCTTACGAACCGCTGTTTGCCGATTTCTCCTCCGCTCACCCTATCAGCAATTCTTCCTCTCCCGAAAGCAGTCTGGGCACGGCTCTGACAGCTTTAACACCACCATTCACAGCCCCGGAGCTTCTATGTGTCTCATCATTAAAATCCCCAGACGTGGCGCCAACCCCAGAGTCTGATGTCTTCTCTCTGGCCGTTACTCTACTGGCTGCCGCTACAGGCGATTTGCTCCTCTACCCGGGTGCCAACCACTTCCAGCGTCTAGCCATGGCCCGTGAAGGCCACCGCGTGATTGAGTTTGCTCGCTCCGGGCCGAATGGATCTCGCATACCGCGCAACGGGATCGTCGAGCAAATCATCAAACCAGCAATTGTCAAAGACCCGAGCCAGCGCATCAAACCTGCTGAATGGGTCAATTTGGTCGAGTCTATTTCGATCTAACTTTGGCTATGGTTGCCTTCCTTTCGTTATCGCATCCCGCGCTCTTATCTCGGACTACTTTTAATCTCTCGTTATCTTCGGACTTTTCTACTTCGGCCATTTCTTCGCCTAGCCTCTTTTCTAATCTTTCTTTTACACATTTGTCAGACTTTGTCTGGTTCTATCACCTTTATCTTCTTGGCACTTTTTCCTTCTTCATTTTCTTTTTCTTACTATGTTCAACTTCTACAAGAAACATTCAAGATACCCGTTAGAATAGATGTGCAGACGAAACAATTTACATTTTCTACATGACTCATTCTTCCCAGATAGTTACCTGAAGTATCAATAATAGCAACAGCCACTTGCATTTCAGTTCACTTGTGGAGCCATGTGGACCTACCCCTCCTTAGTATGCTCTCTAGACCCCTGATTTAGGTCCAACTATGGCTTATCTCGAATCAAGAATACCTATTACTGGTTCCATCACAGATATAGCCATTTGATGTTTCCATCGAACAAACATCTCACATGCAATTTAACTCCTTTACGCTAGAGCATGCAGCAGATTAATTGATTTAAAGACACCGAAACAATCGTATTAATGGTGTCAGTCGTTGTAAAATAAGTAAGTAATGATCTCGAACTAATCTCTCAGTGCCTTTTTATTGAAATCAACTCAGGCTTGGATGAGGTTATGTTACTGGACCATACACAGTTCCATTCCTAGTGGTTTATAGTGTGTTCTATCAATTGGAAAAGAGTCTATCATCTATCATATAAATACTACAGTACATGCTAGTTATACATATCTCATATTCAGATACAAATATATCCATCCATCCAACCCACCCAAAGATTAATCTCCTAATGAAGTCTCTTCTTCACCATCTCACGATGCACCCCCGTCTTATACGACGTCAACGTCCCCCCGAACAACCGATTCAATTGCACACTCGACACCGAGACCCCGCTGCGCTGGTACTCGATGCAAATATCCCAGATTGTCGACGTCGACAATATATGCACGCGCACATCGCTCAGATCGTAGTCCAGGTTCTCCTGGAAACTGGTTACCGGGTCGGTGCTGCCCCCGTGGATGGTTTTCGGGAGACTGTCAAAGTCTGGTTTTGGTGTCTTCGCGGCATATTCGGCTAGGCTGGGGATGGATTTGACGATGTCATTGGTGGAGCGGCCTGGGAAGATAAGTTGGAGGACTTCGGCGACGGAGAGGGCTTCGCGGCCGCGGCCGAGGGAGAGGGAGAGGGTTTCGAAGAGGCGGAAGGCGTCGCCGCGTTGGGAGGGGTCGAGGGAGTTGATTTTCTCAATGACGGGGGAATTGGGGTTCGGTTCGAAGTAGACTATGCTGCGGTCGATGCCTTGGGGGTAGAGCTCTTCCGGGCGGATGAGGAGAGGCTCGAAGGGACGGCGGTCCCAGGCGAGGAGGGCGTCGTCGAAGTTGTTGTTGCTGCGGAGGGAGGCGCGGTAGCTGTCGTGGATGTGAGGGAATTGTTTGAGGTGGTCGTGGTAGTTCTCTTGGCCTTCATCGGTGATGGAGCTTCGCAGGGCGGATATTTTGTCGAGGATGGGTTTGAAGTCGGCGGAGGTTGTGTTGGGGTCGGCCGCTGCTCGGGATAGAGCGTCGTATTGGGCGTCGATTTCCCGCGACTGGTCGACCATTTGCTGGAGGAAGTATGCTTGTCGGTTGTCCCGGTTGAGTCGGGTCTGCGCGCGACTGCGCTTCTTCTTGGCTTCGGCGTAGCCGGGGGTGGACTTGTCCATGTTGTCCAGGGCTTGGATGTCTTCGCAGAATCTGTCGTGAAGGGCAGTCCTTATGCGTGGTGTGTAGGGCACGGGTTTCCGGCCGGGGTCGGGGCTCTCCGGAGCTGGGAGGAGAGGCTGAAATTCCCTCCCCGGGGGTGTGCTGATGTTCTTTTCAGCAGCTCTTTCGGCGACACGCGCGGCGTTGTCTATGGCGACGTTGAATCCTTTGTGGTTGACCCAGAATTTCTCGTCTTGAGGAGCAGCGACTTCGAAGGTATGGAGCGAGACATTCTCCGTCCAAAGCGACACTCGTCGGCGATCAACTACGTAGCGGGGGATGATGGCCTGTGATTCTGGCGATGGTAGAGACGCAAGCAATCGGATAGCCCCGTAAGAGTGTAGTCCCGTCTGCTGCATGCAGGTCTCCATGAACATCTGCCACCATCTGCCTGCGGTGAAATGGTCTTTGTCGGAGGTCGTGGCGGGAAGGTTTGCGAGTACTAGAAGGGTATCGTTCTTTGGCAGAACGCCGGTGTGATCGCCATTGTCGGGCCCTTGTTCGGGGAAATGCTCCGTGAGCACGGGTTTCCAGTCGCCGATTGAGAAGACGTCCATGGACAGTAGCTTGTAGGAGGGATGGCTTTGAGCCAGCGGGTCTAGCAGCGGTCGGAAGTTCTGCAGCTCGGGTTCAACGAGGACATGTCGTCGCGGCTGGAGAAGGCGGTTGATCTTGGATGACCAGAGGCCAGCTCCAGGCCACAGGTCGAGGATGTCCAACGGCCGATTGCGGAGGAGGTACGGTGACAGGCGCTGCAAAGCATGATCTGTGTAACGAAGGTGTTAGAAAATACAGGAAGAATATATTAGCTGCACTCACCACATAGCTCCTCACTGACAATCTCCGGTTTCCTGTTAGTTCTCCGCTTGAGGTGGCCGGGGAAGCACTTGGCAATCGATTTCGCAAGCGGAAACCGTGCGAGGGCTGAGGCTCGTGGAGCCATTGTAAGGCACCAGGTCTGCGAGTGAGACCAAGATGCAGAGCGATCAGCCTTTCTGGTATTCGAGGAAGAGGACCCTGGCGGACGGCGTCATGGTTGGGCGGCCGAACGAGAAGAATGGAGTGAAGGTGGAGCGGAAGCCGAGAGATGGAGAGGAACAAATACCAGCGCGACTCGCCGGCCGATCTTCTTTGCAGCTCCGCCGAACTTAAAAGAACCAACTTCTGCACTCTCTCCTGTACCTGACTAACTGTCGCCCACCCCGCTCGGTTGGTGGAATGCAAACACGATGCACCTTGATCAAAGGATTTAAAGCTATAAATTGTCTGCTCCACATTTCGTGTGCCTGAACACCACCCGATCATTCGGTGTCTTGACTCTGCTGCCTATCATCTACATGCGGCACGCCCCCACCACAACTGCCGCTGGTCTCGCGCCAGACGTCAATGAACTGCGACTGCTGCGACAGGCCTGCTGATTCTCTTCGATTTAATCTTCATCATCGACCTTGATATCGATTCATGCGCAGTCATGGCCGCCCATCTACCTCCAGCCACCGGTGCGGGGTCTCCGCAGAGCGTGGAATCGATCACTCGCATGGCTCAGGATTATGAGTATAACCCGTCTATACCTTTACGCTACTGGCTGCGAACTGCGTCTACACTTATGAGAGAGGTTGGTATACTCCTGCTTGGTTATGGTGGAGTGACCTGACGAGATTGGTGGCTAGGCTCGCATTTACGAACGCGAAAAGCACGAAGAACAGGCCTACCTTTTATTGTTTCGCCATGCTCAGCTAGTACTCGTCAATCTGGCCGAACACCCAGAGGCCAAGGATGAGAAAAACCGGAAAGCTTTGGTGGAAGCTGAAAAGGAGGTCAAACGGAACTTAAAGGTCCTGGAAGTCCTGAAACCCCGAATCAACAAACGCTACGAGCGCTATACTCAGTTGATGCGTGAACGGCAAGCTCGCGCACCAGCAGCCGCGAATAACACTCCCACTTCAATTCAACGCCCCCCTCAGGACCCCGCCCTTGCAGGAGTTGTGGAACCTCTGGAAGCAGGAGAGAACAAAGACCTGGCGGTGCAGCTGGCTCGGACGGAGCTTAGCCGACGAGCGACTGTCCGGAAGGCTATCCGACAAGCAGGCATAACACCTGAGGAGGAGCAGACTCGCCGTGCAGCTGGCGTGTGGGGAGACTGGGAACATGCCCTGCGCAAAGATGGATCCGAGGACGATGACTTGAGCCGGCGCATACAGAACGTGAGGATACAGATGGACGATCCGCGGGCGGATCACCGTCCACAGGTTGCTACTAAGCCCATGGCCCGACCATCTTCGGCAACCTCTTCGACCGGCGCATACAAGTATCCGAGCGTCCCTCGTCAGAAGCCGCTGGAAGTCCCGTCAACCGCAAAGGTCGAGCCTAAGATTGTTCTTCCGCCTAAAGCACCCGCACTACCTCCTAAGAAAGCTTCGTATGTACATGAACTGGCTGGCCTCGAAGGACCTTCGCCTCCACCTCGTCCAGACAAGATCTCGTCCGCAGGGATCCCAGCTGAGCCTCCTGCGCTTCCTGGAAAGGTTCCAGCAACCGATGGACCAGCTGCAAGCCCGGATTTGGAGCCGTCCAGTTATACCTTCAAGCCCTCTGCTTATCTTGAGAACGGAACGCCTCTGCGGACATTGTTCCTGCCGCCTGATCTACGCAAGCACTTCATCTCACTGGTATCCCCGAATACGCAGCGCAATTTAGAGACATGCGGCATTCTGTGTGGCACATTAGTCTCCAACGCCTTGTTCGTGTCGAAGCTCCTCATCCCTGAACAGACTGCCACTTCGGACACATGCGAGACGGTGAACGAGTCAGCCATCTTCGACTATTGTGATTCGGAGGACCTGATGGTGCTCGGCTGGATCCATACGCACCCGACGCAGACGTGTTTTATGAGCTCGCGCGACCTGCACACGCATTGCGGATACCAGGTGATGCTGCCAGAGAGCATCGCGATCGTGTGCGCACCTAGTAAGACGCCAGACTGGGGAGTGTTCCGACTGACGGATCCGCCGGGGCTGAAGACGGTGCTCAACTGCACGCAGTCAGGACTCTTCCATCCCCACGGAGAAGCGAACATCTACACGGACGCGCTACGGCCGGGACATGTATTTGAAGCGAAGGGATTGGAATTTGAGACGGTGGATTTGCGTCCGAAGGGGTCTCAAATCTGACATTGGATCTTTGTTGCGAATTACTCTGAGCGTCGATAGCATATGATTACATGATAGGAGCTAATGAGGAATGATGCACTAGCCAATATTTAACTATCTAGTCTGTCAGCTAGACTACAATGAAAATAGCTAACTAACCAACGAACTACCATGTGACGATCCCTGCAAGCCTCATCCTTTCATGATCCACTCATACTCCCGCTTCTTCCCTCCACAACATACTACTATCAACATCATGTCAACTAATCCCCTCTACATTGGCACCCACATCTCCATCGGCCCCCACAAGCTGTACCTGCATCTGCACGGCCCACCCCGCACCACCCAGCCTCTCACTATCTTCCTCGCCGGCGCCGGCGATGTTTCTTCCAGCTACACCGCTGTAATCCGCTTATTGACCCCATTCGCCCCGTGTCTGGTCTACGACCGCACCGGTCTCGGGCACAGCGATGCCCCAGACCAAGATACCAGCTACAAGCCCAGCGCGACTCTCGCCGCATCAGAACTGCATACCCTACTTACCAACGCAGATCTCCCACCACCATACGTCCTAGTGGGACACTCATACGGCGCTATAATCGCGAGGGAGTACCTCCACCTCTACTCAGATGATATCAGCGGTATGGTCCTCGTTGAGGGATCAACAGAACATCAGTATAAGCTATTCGAAGATAACCCCAACCTGGATAGTGATATCGCTGCCATACAGGGAGAGATGAATTTCGCTACGGTGACGGGGTTACGCGAGAATGCGAAGTTGTCTCGTGAGGAGTGGAGAGAACGAGCGAGGGATATTGCGCGGGGAATGGGGATTTGGGAGGCTGAGAGGGGGAATCTGGTGGGGGTTTGTAGGGAGTTGGAGGGGAAGAGGCAGTTACAGGTGCAGGGAGGAGGGTTAGGGGAGAGGCCATTGTCTGTGGTGGTGGGACGGGGATGGGAGGATTATCAGAGGGTTTATGAGAGGGGAGTGGAGATGGGGAATGGGAGTGATGAGCAAAGAGAGGCGGTTAGAAGGTTCCTGGGGAGGTGTGAGGAGGTGGTGGGGGAGTGGCAGAGGGAGCAGTTGAGGTTGTCGAGGAGAGCGAGGTTGGTCGAGGTGGATTGTGGACATCAGGTGCATTTGGTGAGGCCGGATGTAGTGGTGGAGGAGGTGAGATGGGTGTTGGAGATGATTGAGAGAAGTAGTAGTATGCTGTAGTATAGTAGTGTTGCAGATGTTGTGGTAGTGGTGAGATATGCTATGTCTATTACAGAGGCCACCGAGAAATTCTCAGCAGAGTATAACTGCGAGACACAGAAGTGAGGCAGTTGTAAGTCTTCGAGACTGTATAAGTGTCAAGATGACCGCAATTTGATGCTATTCCCACCGCAGGCCTCCCCCCACCATTCCCGATCAGGAAACCCCGGGCTTGGCGCCATCGCAATTCCAGCGAAAGCGACTTGCTTTTACTGCTTTCTTCTTCTCTTCTTCTCTTCTGCAACTCTCCACTGCCTTTCTGCTACGGCTTCTTCTCTCGTCCTATCATCTTCTCAACCTCATCTTCTTCCGGTTCTCAGTCGTTGCATCTCCCCTGCTGCGAGAACCCTTCAGATCCACCTCTCAGTCAATACGAGAGTTTACAATATCTTAACCTCATCCATCTCTCCTCTCCTCCATTCCCGGAACGGTGAATCCCACCGGCTCGTGCGACAGAGTGAGTCCACCATCATCTCAACACATCCCTTTGATTCTCCTTTCGGGCGCATTCACTTCACTTGTTTGTGGCTTGGTTCTTTTGCATTCCCTGCATCGCCGGTCAACTATATACTTGCCAGCGAATTTGCACGTGCACTGTCCCACACGTACAACTGTCCCGACTCCACCCCTGCTTGAGTTTGTTCCTGCGTACTGTCGCACATACTGTTACTCGCTATCGCAACACATGTCGCTTATGCCCACGATCGCATAAACATCATACTGATCGTCATAGGCGCTATAAGCTCTATATATTCGATATTTATCCCTTCACCTATACTCTCATCATATATCCATCATGTCTATGGACGCCAAAGAAATCGAGCTCCGGGCTAAGGCCATGACCAAGGCTGCCTCCTCCAACGAACCTCCCTCTACCATCATACCTCTGCTCAAGCAGCTGCAACAAGGGGTGAAAGCCACCGAGGACCTGCTGCGATCCACCCGTGTCGGTATCGCCGTCAACAAACTCAAACAACACAAATCTCCCGAAGTCGCCCGTCTCGCGAGCGAAATCGTCTCCAAGTGGCGCCACGAAGTGAACAAGCAAAAGGCCGGGGCCTCCCCCGGCGCCAGCCAACGGTCGAGCAGCTCTCCCCACCCGAAAGCCAACGGCACCCCCTCCGGCGGTGCGACTCCCTCCGATAAGGCCTCGAAGCTCTCGGTGCCTCCCGACAAGCGTACCTGGAAGGCCGATGGCGTGGACACCAACCAGACCGGCAACAGAATTCGCGATAGCTGCATCGGCTTGATGTACGATGGGCTGTGTCTCAACTCGGTTGAACCCCCACGCACAGTTCTGTCCAAGGCGTCGGCCGTCGAAGCGGCGGCCTTTAGCGACCTCGGACCGGAAACGAAGGAACAATACCGCACGAAGATCCGCAGTCTCTACCAGAACCTGAAGAACAAATCGAACCCGTCACTGCGACTGCGGGTCCTCAACGGCGACGTGACGCCGGAGCGATTCGTCCGGATGTCGCACGACGAGCTCCGGTCGGAGGAACAGCAGGAACGCGACCGCAGAATTCAAAAGGAAAACATGGACAAGGCGATGGTGGCACAGGCGGAGCGGAGTATCAGTACGAGCTTGCAATGTGGCAAGTGTGGACAGCGCAAGGTGACATATACGGAAGCGCAGACGCGCAGTGCAGATGAACCGATGACATTGTTTTGTACGTGTATGAACTGCGGCAAGTCATGGAAGCAGTGACCAGTCTGTCAATTGATTTGATTATACTCATTCATGTTTTTACTCATCCATTCAATTTGTATTTCCCGATGGTGTTGGGTGTGATAGGCGAGGAGTTGGTTGTCAGGTTCAATCCAGTTTATGTCATGTGTCATAGATCATACGTCATTCAATACTTTTTTATACCACCACCATCCCCAACCTACAAAGTAAACAACCACCACCTATTCCCCTCTCAACACCACCATCATCCCATCATCTATGATATTGCCACAGAATGCCCCCCAAACAAACCCTCAAACAAACCACCCATACCTTCCTAGATACTCTAACTCAAATCCCCCCACCCCCCCTCACCACCATCCTCTCCCAATTCACCTCCTCCCCCAACACTACCCCCCTTATCCACGAAGCCGGCCTCCCTCACCTCGCCCCCTTCCTCGGCCGCGACTTCACCGGCCAAGACGGAGTGAAAGCGTACTTCGAGACCATGGGCGCGGCGCTACGCTACGAGGGGATGCGATTCGAGGATGAGCAGGATTGGGTGGTTGACGAGGAGAAAGGGTGTGTTTGTGTCCGCGGGTGGGCGAAATTCATTGCCAAAGAGACAGAAATGGGTTGGGATGAGGGGTTCGTGTATAGGTTGAGGATTGTGCAGGATGGTGGTAGTGGTGGGGAGTGGAAGGTGCAAGAGTATAGAGTGTGGGCTGATACGGGGGCGGCGTATTTGGCTCTTACGGGGAGGTTGGATGATCTTGTGAAGGGGGAGTGATATGTATGTATGTATGTATGTATGTATGTATGTATGTATGTATGTATGTACATCATAATCCTAATCCGATGAGAGATTTGATTACAAGGGATTGTTAAGAGGATACAACATCCCAATCAATCCAGCCCACATTCCCCTCCCTCCCATCCTCAAACAAAAACACCCTCTTGGGATCCCTATACCTCTCCTCCTCACTACTACTCAACAACACACTCACCTCACTCTCCTCCCTGCCCGTGAGATTAAACCCCGGGCCATAGGCCCTATACTCCGCCATCAGCGTCTCATTCTGACTCCACCGATCCTCCCAGTTAATGTACCCCGAGGGCTCGATGCTCCCGTCCTCGTACGTGTTCGCGAAGATGGATCGGTGCAGCGAGTTCCACGGCCTGCCTAGCGCGCAGGACCCCTGGATTTGCTCTGCGATGGAGGCGTTCGCGGCGTTGATGGTCGAGTCGTGGATGTAGACTCCGTAGTTGTTGCGGACGGTCGTGTTGGTGCCTTTCCAGGCGGTGATGCCGCCGCCGCAGGAGCGGAGGATGATTTGGGAGGATTGGATGAAGAGTGTGCCGAAGCCGTACAGGAAGTCGGTTTGGCCGGCGAGGATGGATTTGTACATGTATGCCGAGCCGAGTTTGCCGATGTAGATCTGTGAATATGTTAGTTTTTCTTGGGAAGGGGTAGGGTTAGGGGGATGTACCGTGTCCTGGTAAGAGTAGAAGCCGCAGTAGTAGAAGCCGCCGTTGGAGCGACTAAAGCTGATAGCGTGCGCTGGACCAGCAGAGTACGGTGCGTAGGTGTTGCGGAAGTCGATATTGTATACGCGGAAGTTGGTATTCCCGAATGGGGTGTCTGCTGGCACTGGGTACCCTGTTGTCCCGGAGCCGGTGAGACTGGCGTCTAGGGTCGGGGCAACAACCATGACGCTGAACCAGACGTTGTCGATGTTGCCGCTGCTGTCGCTGTTGGCGCCGGCGAAGGTGAGGTTGACGGTGTTGCGGGCTGGGTCGGTTAGGGCTGCGCGGTCTGGTTGCTGGCCGAGGAGGGTGATGGGGCCGGAGCGGGTGATGTTGACTTGTTCATTGTAGGAGCCGGAGAGGAGGAGGATGGTTTGGGAGGAGTTGTCGTTGGGGAGGGCGTTGATGGCTGCTTGGAGGGTGGTGAAGTTGGAGATGTCAGGGTGGGTGTTGGTGTTGGAGACGATGATGGTGCCGGGGGGACATTGGAGGGTTGTTTGGCATTTCTCGCGAGCGGCGGTTGAGAGATGGTTTGAGGATGATTGGGGAGTAATGGCTGCTGAGGAGGCTAGGATAGCCTGGAGGGCCAGCACGAGGCCGTGGAGGAGCATTGTGTGGGATGTAGAAGCAATTGGCTTGCTGGTGTTTGGATTGAACCCTGTTCATTTTTGTGGCCATTTTATATGATCATCAGGGCAATCTGGGGATGCGGGGATAGTCAAGCTTCTGCATGGTGTCAATTACCCCAGACTGACATTCTATCATGGCATCACCGTATGATGCATGGTTTCCTTCTTCCCCAGACGGAGGCCGGAGAAATGTGGTGGCGCCGGAGAATTGCGTTCCACCTGTCGGGTTGAAGGATAGGGTTCAGTTGGACTGCAGTTGGTGGAGTGAACTTGTTCTGGGGTTAGATGCATTATTGGGATGATGTTGTCTCCATGTTGGTCGGGGGTATCTTCCAGAGTCAGTTAGTGAGTTGTTTGACGTGGTGGTGCTCCGCGGACAGCCATAGTGATCCGATATCTCATAGTTGCGCTATGAAGCCGCACATCTGGTCCAGTGATGTTTAATCCCTCATTCATGCAGTGTGCTTGTCCGATGGTGCGGGGAGAAGTATCCTGCGTGAGCTATCACGGCTAAGCTTTTTGGAGCTGGTCAGACTTGTCTGTCATGGAGCTTAGTAGTAGACTTGAGCCCATGTAATGCCGACGACTTTTCTTCCGAGAGAAATGCTTTGTCTGCAAGTTGCTTTAGCATAAATGTAGCAAGTCGTGTGTATGTTAAGCACGTAAGATAGCTAATCCTTCACCAGAGCTTGCCATCATACCATAGTCTTTAAACAGTTAGAAGGCGTGCAATGTCTGAACAGGACAGTACTCTCGTCTATAGTCGACTCGGAGCATGCTGACATGCTAGAAGTGCAAGCACCTTGTCAGCCAATACACAGTCAGTTTTCAGCCTTGTATTTGCATATGGCGACCATAGCTATCTAGGATAGAAGCCATCAGTCAGTTGATGGCCACCCCATATAGGCCACGGTGAACTCGTGTGGCCGCTTGCTCTCAGAACAGGTATCACTGTTCAGTGACAGCTGCCATTATTGTTTCTCAAAGCCAAGCACAAGTTTATCAGGGCTTCGAGTCAGTTCATGCTAGCGAGGTACTTGTGCCATCGCGATGTCTAAGTGTTGCTAGCAGCAATCTCATAACTTGTTCTGTATAGACAACTCCAAGTATGAGTGTACGAGAAGAATTAGATAGTTCCCGGCTTTGACGAGGATTATCTTATAGAGACCTATAGACTCAAATGTTACTCATGACTCCTGATCCGCGGAAGCAACAGCTACTCACCAGCTTAGTTTGACAGATGCATGTTCTCACATCATGATTATCAACCTGAAACGCATTGGTTCACGCGCATGATAAGACTTAGGCTCGTGGGAGGCGGATACAGAGGTTTGCTGGAAAAAGCCATTTCCCAAATTTGTTGGAAATACTCATGTATTGACTGAAATGAAAGAAGTCATCCTCACACTGTGCAACTGACATTCATTGCTGCTGAGATCGCCTAGCCTGAGGCACCCAAGTAAAAGCTGAATCACGACCCCTAAACAGACATCACCAACTGGACAACCCCAACCTTAGCAACTAAAGCAGCAATGCACGACAATGCGCATCCCCAACTACATACCTATTCCGGTTGACCCCGGTAATTTTGTTAGTAAGGTAGAGAGGTGCAGGGGGTTGAATCCTTCCAGCGGTGATTCTCCTAGCTAACACCGCCTGCCTAATATAGCTAGCCACGCGTTGAAATTGAAGCCCACAAACACGAGAAATATGATGCATTCTGCTAATTCTTGGTGTTTCAGAGATCAAAGATGCCTTCTACACCTGAACCTACCTCTCCGAAATCAACGGATTCAAAGCGTTTGAATCGTGATGATCGTATCCGTGTTCTTACTCTTCGTGATGCTGGTTTTACCTATCAACAAATAGTTAATCAGCTACAGATTAGCTATCGTCAAGTTCAATATACGTGTCAAAATCAACAAGCTACACCTCGAAAAGCAAAAGGCAATACATCAAAGCTCTCAGATGAAGAAGTTGATCATATTATACAATGGATATCGAGTTCAAAGCGTACGCGTCGGCTGCCATACTATCGTGTTATTAAAGAGCTTGAACTTCCTGTTGGAGTAACAGCTTTGACACGTTCTTTGAAAAAGCGAGGCTATACACGCTGTAAACGGAGTACAACCACCACCACACCAGTGCACAAGTAAAGCGCACAAACACCATCTGTGCATCACACTATCAATTAATGCATCCATCCATCGGCAAATTACACCTCCCCATCGATACGAGGCCAATCAGACTACCATCATCATCTACTAATCTCCCATCGACCTCGGCCTCTTTCGTAAACGTATCCAACAAGCCAGCCGACCAATTAGTCGACGACCGACTCGGCAGGTACAGGCCGACTGATAGGCGCAATACGAGTCTCCTCTCGTCTCACCCGACTCAATAGCTTGGATCCACTCAAGCTCTCTCACACACACGTATGTTCGGTGTCGAGGGCCGAATGCCTGTGAGGTGCAACGCAACGCAACTGGCTGTCTGGCTAGCTATCGGCCGGAGTCCGAACGGGCGCAGGTGAAACGGGAACCGAGAAGATGGTGAGTGAAGTGGTGCCCCTGACTCCAATTTACCGGGGTCCACTGCATCCAGAACTTGGTCCGATGGGTGGACCGTGGTGTAGGTCAGGTCAGGTCAGGGCTGAGGTGGTTTGGTTCGGCTAAGTGGTCGGCAGTGGGCGCACTTTGATTATTGATTTGGTAAGATTCCAAAAGGTTGTGTGGTTAAAGATTAGAATTATGAAGTAGTAGTTACAGTGGAAGATGTATTAATTGAACCCTTGATTGACTAAATTTACCACTATTAATGACATACATACATGTAAAAAGAAAAGAAATTGACTCTATCAGTAGAGACAAGGTAATAAGGAAAAAAAAGTCTATAATACGGGTAAAAAGGGTAGCCGGAATCCCAGCTCATGCATGTATGCGCAGCAAGTGATATCCAGGTCGGATGGTATTAAGGAGCGCAATCAAGCGTTTACTCATCCTCTTCGACCTCGGCGCGAGCACCCAGCATGTAGCGGCTCTTGCCGTGGGCGTCGACCTCGTGCTCGATGGCCAGCTTGGACAGGTGGCCAAGGAGGTTCTCGATCTGGGTGTCGGCGCGGGAGCGGGTCTTGCGACCAAGGTTGTCAAGGAAGGGGATGCTGGAAAGGAGGTAGTACACCACAGCGATGATGATGGTGACACCAATGGAGTAACCCCAGACAACAACGACGGTGACAATGTCGACATCACCGTTGATGGAGAAGTCGGCACGGTCAACGGGGTGGGTCTGGAGGTAGTCGCCGGAGAGCCAGCCGAAGACACAGAACAGGGTGGCGAGCACATCGACAATGAAGATGGCGCCAACCAGCTGCCAAGAGGGCCAGGTCTTACCACCACGGGTGACGAAGATGAGCCAGTTCTCGGTAAGGGCAACCTCAAGGAAGAGGATTTCCTGGGGAGAACCGAAGTTCTGGATGATACCACCGTTGGTGAGGAAGAGGGAGGCACGGATGATCCAGGTAGCGCCAGCCAGAAGGACACCGAGGATGACGGAGATAACCCAGATCTTAGGCAGCTGCCACTCGACGGGGCGCTGTTCGTAGTGAGCGTTGTCGTAAGCAATGGCGATGGTG